GCAGAAATCAAATGTGCACAGATTAATGAATGCTGACAAATGTATACACCCATGTAAACCACCATCCCAATCCAATGTATATAAAATTTCATTGCTTCAGAAAGCCTCCTTGTGCCCCTTCCAGTCAACTCCAACACTTCTACTCTGAGACAACCAACCGCTATTAGATTTCTGTGTACAGAGAATATTATTGTTCTTGAACTTTTTTAAGTGGAATCATACAGTGTGTGTTCCTTTGAGTCTGACTTCTTTAGCTCAAGATAATGCTTTTGAGATTCATGTACATTGTTGCATGTATCAGTTGTTTGTTTCTTTTTGTTGCTGAATGGTATTCCCTTGTGAAGTCAGGCATATAGCAACATTTGTTTTATCCATTCTATTAATAGAAACTTGATTGTTTCCTGTTTGGGGTTATTATGAATAAAGTGGCTATAAAAATTCTTTTTTTTTTTTTTTTAAGACTTTATCTATTTGACAGAGAGAGAGCACAAGTAGGGGGAGCAGCAGAGAGAGGAAGAGAAGCAGACTCCCTGATGAGCAGGGAGCCTGACGTGGGGCTCCATCCCAGGACCCTGGGATCACGACCTGAGCCAAAGGCAAATGCCTAACTGACTGAGTCACCCAGGCGCCCCTAAAGTGGCTATAAAAATTCTTGAGGAAGTCTTTTGGTGGACATCTTTTCATCTCTTTGGAAGTGGAATTGCTGGGTCAAAGGTTAGATATATGCATAACTTTTAAGAAACTGCTAAGCAGTATTCCAAAGTGGTTGCATACTCACCAGTGTAGGAAACTTCCAATTGCTCCATATCTTTGTTGACATTTTTTATTGTCAATCTTTATTCTTTAGTTGTTCTGGTGTGAATGAAGAGGTATTTCATATTTATTATTTTCATTTGTTGATAACTGATGGTGTTGATAGCCTTTCTATGTATGTGCTTATTGGCCATTTATATATCCTTTTTGTCAAGTGTCTGTTTAAATCTTTTGCCCATTTAATTAGGTTCTTTACCTTTTTATTACTGATTTATAACAGTATTTTTAATATATTATTTATAATTTATAAAATATGTATTTTATTTATAACAATTCTTACATATTCTAGATAAGACTTCTTTGTCAGATATATGTGTTGTGAATATTTCTTCCACTCTAGCTTGCCTTTTCATTATTAACCGTGTCCTTTCATGAGCACAAATATTTAGTTTTGATGCAGTCCAACTTATTTTTTTCTTTTATGCTTAGTGTTTTCTCTGTTCTAAGAAATCTTTCTACATTATAGTTGTGAAGACATTATATTTTTTCTAGAAGTTTATATCTTAGTTCATTTTTATATCTATGATTCATCATGAATTCATATTTTTATAAAAGATAGGAGTAAAATTATTTCCCCAAACATATGTTTAGTTATTCCAACATCATTTATTGAAAAGAACTCTCCTTTATCCATTGCATTGCCTTCCCCCATTTGCCTTCCCCACATACCTTTGTAGAAAATCTATTGACCATATGTGTGTAGGTCTGTTTCTGGACTCTATATTCTGGGATATGTTTTATGGCCTAGCTCATGATCTCATTTGGTGACTGTTACATGAGCACTTAAAAAGAATGTGTACTGTGCACTAGTTGGTTGCAGTGTTTTATAAATGTCAAGGTTAAATTAGTTTATAATGTTGTTCAAATTCTTATTCCATTGTTGAATAATGTTCCATTCGTATTGAGTTTTTCAATCTAGTTGCCACAATTTTTGACAATGAGAGATTTATATCTCCAAGGTTGATTGTTGGTTTGTCTATTTCTCCTTTAGTTTTGCCAATTTTTGTTTCTGGTATTTTGAAGCTCTGTTAATAGGTACATGCACATGTAGGATTGCTATATCTTCTTAGTGAATTTATTTTTTATCATTATAAAACAATACTCTTTCCTTTCTCAAGGCCTGTTTTATCTTATAGTAATATATTAACACCAGCTATCTTATACTTAGCATTTGCATAATATACCATTTCCTTGTGTCATTTTTGACTTCGATGTCTTTATATTTAAAATGCACCTGTTGGGCGCCTGGGTGGCTCAGTTGGTTAAGCGACTGCCTTCGGCTCAGGTCATGATCCCGGAGTCCCGGGATCGAGTCCCACATTGGGCTCCCTGCTCAGCGGGGAGTCTGCTTCTCCCTCTGACCCTCCTCCCTCTCGTGCTCTCTGTCTCTCATTCTCTCTCTCAGATAAATAAATAAAATCTTTAAAAAAAATAAATAAATAAAATGCACCTGTTGTAAATTCCATATAGTTGAGTCTGCTTTTTTTAATCAAGTCTGAAAATCTCTGCTTTTTAGTTGAAGTGTTTAGTCCACTTATATTTAATATAATTATTAATTTAGTTGGCTTTAAGTCTACCATCTTCCTATTTGCTTTCTCTTATTTCCCTCTGTTCTGTGTTCCTTTATTCTACTTTACCTGTTTTGTGTTAACTGGTTAGTTTTAGTGCTCCATTTTATCCCATTTATTAGCTTTTTAGATATATAGTTCTCTATTATTAATGGGTGGCAAGGGGTTTATAAATGCATCCTTAATTTATCCCAGTCTACTTGAATATACAACTTCAAGTGTAATGTAAGTACCTTTTAACAGTATAAGTCCATCTGTCACCTGTCTGTTCTGCTCTTGCTGTCATATATCTTACTGAATTATGTTATTAATAAAATAATACCTTGTTTTTATTTTTACTTTAAACAATTAATTGGCTTTTAAAGGAATTGAAAGTAAAGAAAACCAACAATATATTACATTTACCATTTTATAATTTCCAGTGATCTTCATTCCATACTGTAGCTCTGTATTTTCACCAGATATCATTTTCCTTTAGATTAAAGAAATTACTTTGGTATTTCTTGCTGATGAACATGATTTCAGCTTTTATTTCTCTGCCTTCATTTTGAAAGGTATTTTTGCTCATTATAGAGTTACGCATTGACAGATTTTTTCTTTTGGCACTCAAAGATGTCATTTTGTTGTCTTCAGGCCTCAGTTGTTTCTGATGAGTAATCAGTCATTATTCCTATGATATACTGAGGTGTTATTTTCTTTGCACAGATCCTATGTTAGGTTTACTGAGCATCTTAGACCCATGGGTTGATAGTTTAAGTTAAATTAGGAAAACTTCAACTAGTATTTCTTTGAATATTTTTGTGCTTCGTTTTTCCTCCTTCTACTTCTGGGACTCATTTCTATGTATGTTAAACTACTTGATAATGTTTCACAGGTCATTTTGACTTCTTCATTTTTAAAAAATGAAATGCTTCAGTCTGCATGATTTGTTTCCCTGTCTTCAAGTCATCCGATCCTTTCTTCTGTAGTACCAGTCTATTGTTAATCCATTACAAAAATCTTCTTTTATACATTGTATTTTTCTGTTTTAGTAATTTCATTTGCTTCTTTTTAAAAATTTTGGCATCTTTCTTGAAATTTCTTCTCTATTCGTTACTTATACCTACCATTTCCTATAATTTCTTTACCATATTTATAATAGTATTGCCAGCTTATTGTTTGCTAATTCCAAATCTGGATCAATTTTTCATCTTCTGTTGACAGATTTTTATTCTTATTAATTATGGGACACATTTCCTGCTTGTTGGCATGTCTTTTGATTTTTTATTAGATACTTCATGATGTTTTGTAGAGACTCTGTATATGTTTTCTTTTTCTGAGTTATGTTCTAGCAGTAGTTTAATTATTGGTGAATCATCTTGATTTTGTGGAGACTTGGTTTTAGGCTTTGTCAGAGCAGATCTATTTCAGTTTTGTTCTTGTTCTAGGGCATAACTTCAGTCTGGGGACGTGAGCCTTGAAAGAGTTAAATATTTCTAGGCATAATCCCCACTATCTTCCCACACCTTCTTAAATAAACAGGAGTGAAGGAGTAGTATGAGAACCTGGCTCTACTCCTATATACCTCTGCTGTTAACCAGCATAGTGCTTTGCATTGCTCCCTTAACCATTTAATTTTCCTATCTATAAAATTAGGAAAACATTCAAAGGCTTAAAACCCACCACACCCCATCTCAGTACTATATAGTATCAGCTCACTGAAGCTACAGAGAAGCAAATCCCAGGCTAGCAGGCATAATGGCAATAGAGGGAGGAGGGACTGACTGCCTAGGGGCTTCAAGTGTGCATCAGCAAAAATTTAGGCACTGTGAGACTTAGAATATAACAGGTCAGACCTGGGATGTAGTCTAAGCTGCAAGGAGGCACCCTGGGTACAGAGATTTGCTGGTAATTTTACTCCTCAGCACTGCACTGAGTCTCTGACTCAAGCTCTATGCTTCTTTCTCTTTCCTCTTGTCCCAATTTCCTACAATTCCCTCCCTGCATCTCCAGAATTTAATCAAATTTTCATTCTTAATTGGTCCTGGTTTTAAAATTCTATTCCACATTATTATTTATATTTATCCAATAAAGTTTAAAGTTCTCTAATATACAAGACAAATTATTCTATTGCTGAATAATCTTTAAAAAATAAGGATAGTAAAATTAGATGAAAGATGGTTTTTATTTCCTTGTGAACTGTGCTTCACTCTAGTCACCCCCCACCCCCATAGGTAAATAACCTTTGATGGAGAAAGGATTCCCAGAATCTTCTTTAAACAAAAGATAGTATCAGTTAATCATTTCCAAAGGTCAGTTTCTCCCTCTCCCTTGGGTCCCCCATGGCCTCTTCTTTGGTTGAAATCAAATAAAACTATATAGCCTGTGTATATATTAAAATAAGCTCAGTGGGTGCCTGGGTGGCTCAGTTGGTTAAGCGACTGCCTTCGGCTCAGGTCATGATCCCAGAGTCCCGGGATCGAGTCCCACATGGGGCTCCCTGCTCGGCAGGGAGTCTGCTTCTCCCTCTAACCCTTCCCCCTCTTGCGCTCTCTCTCTCACTCTCTCTCTCTCTAATAAATAAATTAAAAAAAAATCTTTAAAAAAAAAAATAAGCTCAGAACTATGTCTTTCGTTCTTTACTTAAAGCCTTATGAGAGTTGTAACCATTTTTATTGAATAACACCCAAGGCAATAACTTGGAAACTGCTTTGATGAGAATACAATCGCATATGCAATAAATTCAATAGACCTCTCTTACAAAACTAATGTCAGGGGACAAGGATAATACCCACATTTTAATGCTAACTCTTACAGTGAACAAAGATCTCTTTGAGCACTAGCAGTGGGATTTGATCTGTAGTATAGTTAACCAAATGGCAAGAGGTGAAGAACTTTACAATAGGGGCTTCATATATAAAATGCAGCTTGATCTTTAGTCATAAGAAAGCAACCTATTCTGAAAAGATAAGGGGAAATAAAAATTAATCAAAGTAACTAAGCAGTTGCTTCATATAGACAGTTATACCAATCTCCTTTCCTCTACCTGGGGCTATTTTTCCTCTACAGTAAAACAAGCTTTTCTTGACTCTGGTTCACCCTTGCCCTTGCTTTGCTTTTAAAGAAATTATCTTGGAGAATAATTTTTATTATTTTGTCCATAACCAAAGCTTAAGGGTTTCCTAACTTCCTTCCAAAAATGAGTATTATAAAAGATTTTTTTGTCTGTTTACCATGTAAAAATCTGATCTGTATTATACAAAAACTCAAAGCATTTTTAATAGTTCTGATGTTAATTTGACTTTATTGGTATGTTTTTGTAAAGTGTAAAGGCCATGGATCTTATATCTAAGTAGGAAGGTACCCTGTACATTTGTTCATATTAATTTTGTCCCATTCTTTTTCTTGTCTGCTCTCTTTTTCCTGTTTAAAATACAGTGTGTTACAACTATAGTGAGGCAAATGATTCCTATCAAACCCACTGCTGTCAAAACTCCTTTCAATATAAGATTGTCTCTGTCAAGTATAAGAGCAGAATTTGGGGGAATAAACAGAGATGCTTGGGCAATGTTAGATACAGCAGACTTTAAGGAGTTCCTATCTATTGCTCGTATTGCCACATAAATTCTGTGGCTTTCTTGTGTCTCTCCATCAGGTTGGTGGTCAGGTCCATTTGTGAAAAGCCTTGGTGAGAATGTAAATACCTCCTTGGTGCCAGCTTGCTGAGGATTTAGCTTTGATGCATTCACTAAAATGGCATTGTTAAAGTCATCTTGAATATTCTGTAAACTTTTACTGATTCTTATTTCATAGCTGTTAGCTGAAATTAAAAAATATAAATGGAAAGGTTAAGTCCCTTGGGGAGGTTTTCTGGTTTATTAGAAATGACTAATGAGAATAGCAACAAAAAGTCAAAATACCTAGAAATAAACATAACCAAAAATTGCATATGAACAAAACTTTAAAACACTATATAAGAACTCATATTGAAACCTGGACAAGAGGAAAAACTTATTATGTTTTTTGAATAGGAAGATTCAGCATAATAAAGATGTTATTTTTCCCTAAGTTATTTTATAAATTTTACATAATTCTATTAAAAGTGCCTCTAGTTTCTATTTTAACAAGCTTATTGTAAAGCTAAATGGAAAATAAATAGTCAAGCTTGGCCATATAAAGACTAAAAAATAGCAATGTGGAAGGACTAAACCTATCAAATATAAAAACACTGTAATGCTTCTGTAACTAAAAATTGCAGTACTGGTGCATGAATAAACTAATACCTAAAAATAGGCCACAATACATCCAGGAATTTGGTATATGATAGAAGTAGAATTAAAATTAATGGGAGAAAATACAAATTTCTTGATAAATGATGTTGTGACAATTGGATAAAATGATGTAAAAAAATAAAACTGGATCCATATCACAAACATTTTTTTCAAGATAAACGCCACAATGATCAAAAAATTTGATGTAAAAAATTAAAATATTAAGTATTTAGTAGGAAACAATAGATAAATTCCAGTATAGCCTTGAAGTAGGAAGGGCCCTTCTAATTAAGACTCAAAATTCAGAAGCCATAAACAAAAAATTTAAGTACATAAAATGAAAAACTTCTACATGGAAAATAGCTTAAGTAAGACATAAGCATAAATGTTAAGTGACAAAAATATGCATTACTTAAGTCAAAGGTAAAAGTTTAGTTCTGAGTTCTGGTAATGGCTACATAGCTTAGACTAACTCTCTAGAAGATAACATGTATGAACTCGGAAGAAAGCAAAAAACAAAACAACAAAAAACCCACAAAGCTACTGAAGCACTGGATTCAGATAAAAATAGGCAGAAACCAGAGGCATTACAATCCTTAAAAGAAGGAAATCAGAGTAGGAATGATTCATGTTTGTACAGCTTTTCCTCTTACTTTTTTTAAAAGATTTTATTTATGTATTTGACAGAGAGAGACACAGTGAGAGAGGGAACACAAGCAAGGGGAGTGGGAGAGGGAGAAGCAGGCTTTCCACTGAGCAGGGAACCCGATGTGGGGCTCGATCCCAGGACCCTGGGATCATGACCTGAGCTGAAGGCAGACCCTTAATGACTGAGCCACGCAAGTACCCCTAGCTTTTCCTCTTAAAGCATTTCCCTCTCCTGTACAGATATGATAGCTGGAATGGAAAGCCAACTACCTTCTGGATCTGAAAAATCAGAAGACAGTATGGGATTGCCCGAGTAGCTAAAAGTTGAGGGAGCCAAAGAGGGACCAACCCCAAATCTATGCATTAACTTTTTTCAAACCATTGGAAGACTTCTAATTATTCATGTATGGGTGAAACATTAAGAGCTTAAGGGACAAACAGCAACTAGAAGGCTGAAAAACTGAGCAGAGTTTTATGCTAATGCTCACCAAGGGTATAGAGTTTGGAGTGTGAGTCTTGTCAAGTTAGAGGATCATGGTAAATATCTGAAGATAGCCACTAAAACACTGAAAGAGCCATGCTTTAAGAATAAAGATTGGGTTTCAGAATTAAGGGATATGCCCTGGATTAAGAGCAAAACTGAAATAGACGAACCCTAGGCAAAAGTAAAACCAAGCCTCCTCAAATTCAAGGTGAACCAAACTATGTATTAAAAAAATTTCAAAACTCTTGGGGTGCCTGGCTACCTCAGTCAGTTGAGCGTCTGCCTTTGGCCCAGGTCATGATCTCAGGGTCCTGGGATCAAGTCCCTCATAGGGCTATCTTCTCCCTCTGCCCCTTCCTCCACTCTTATGTGCTCTCTCTCTCTTTCTCTCTGAAGGGAAAAGAAAGAGGAAAGGAAAGGAAAGGAAAGGAAAGGAAAGGAAAGGAAAGGAAAGGAAAGGAAAGGAAAGGAAAGGAAAGGAAGGAAAGGAAGGAAGGAAGGAAGGAAAGAAAGAAAGGAAGGAAGGAAGGAAGGAAGGAAGGAAGGAAGGAAGGAAGGAAGGAAGAAAGAAAGAAAGAAAAGAAAAAGAAAAAGAAAGAAAAAAAGAAAGAAAAGGTTTCAAAACTCTTCAGAAGAATATAACAGATTCCAGAGTCTATAATTTACTACCACATGCCCAATATACAATAAAAAAATATCCCCAGACATGCAAAGAAGTAGAAAATGTAATATATAGTCAAGAAAAATATCAGGAAATAAAATGAGTCACAAAAGACTGAGATTTGAAATTAATAGCCAAGGACTTTAAAATAACCATGATGAGGAGTGCCTGAGTGGCACAGTTGATTAAGTGTCTGCCTTCAGCTCAGGTCATGATCCCAGGGTCCTGGGATTAAGCCCCACATCAGGCAGGGAGCCTGCTTCTCCCTTTCCCTCTGCCTATCGCTTCACCTGCTTGTGCTCTCTCTCTGTCTTTCTCTGTCAAATAAGTAAATAAAATCTTTAAAAAATAAAATAAAATAACCATGATGCAGATGTTAAAAGTCAACAGGACAAGTTGTATATAGTGAATGAAGAGATGGAAAATTTGAGGAGAGACATGGAAACTTAAAAAAAGAAGAAAATGAAAATTCTAGAATTGGAAAAAGAACAGAATGACAAAATTCACTTGAGAAGATTAATAGCAGATTGGACACAACAGAAGAAAAAAATCAATAAGCTTGAAGACAAGTCCATAAAAATCAAACTGTAGCACTCAGGACAAAAGAGAAAAATTGAACAGAATTTCAGTGATCTTTGTGATATACTGACATATCCATTTAGTGTATGCAGGTATAATATAATATATAATGTAATATGTAATATAATCATATCATATCATATCATATCATATCATATCATATCAATATTAGCCAGGAAGAAAAGAAGAAAAAGAATAGAATAGAAATTTTTGGAAGACATATTAGCTGGAAATATTCCAAATCTGGTCAAAAAGAATACAGATCCAGGAAACTCAGCAATCCCCAAACAGAATATGTATCAGGAAAACCACACTTAGGCACATCACATTTAATTTGTTGAACACCAAAGATAAAAACAATTTAAATCAGCCAAAGGGAAAGAAAGACACTTTATACTTAGGAGAATAATAGTAAGAATGATAGCGGACTTCTCATCAGAAAAAAAATTGGGGCCATAAGATAATGAAATAACATATTTAAAGTACTGAAAGAAAAATCTATTGCCCTGGAATTTTATATCTAGTGAAAATGTACTTTAAAACTTAAGGCGAAATGAACGCATCTTCACATAATTGAATCCTGAGAGAATTTCACCTGAAGACCTGAGCTACAAGGTAAATGATGATAGATAAAAATTCAGACCTACAGGAAGGAAGAAGACTAGAAATGGTGACTATATGGGTTACAAAAAAGTGTTATTTTTTTCTCTTTAAAATTTATCAAAAAGACAACTGATTGTTTAAAACAGAAGCCATAACAATGCATTGTGGGCTTTATAAAAATGTAGCAGTACAATATATGACAGCAGGGCGCCTGGGTGGCTCAGTTGGTTAAAGCAACTGCCTTCAGCTCAGGTCATGATCCTGGAGTCCCAGGATCAAGTCCTGCATCGGGCTCCCTGCTCAGCAGGGAGTCTGCTTCTCCCTCTGACCCTCCCCCTGCTTTTATGCTCTCTCTTGCAAATAAATAAAATCTTAAAAATATATATATATGATAGCAGGACCACAAAAGATGGCAGAGGGTACAAGGAATTATACTTTTGAAAGAGTCTCACATTATATGTGAAGTGGTATGACATTAATTCAAGGCAGACTATGATAATTTAAAAAACAACTGCATGTTATAGAACAGCTAAATTTGGAGAAGCTGAGGGCAGGAAGTTTATTATTTTGATTTTCCTTATATTGTTTTGATTTTTCAAAATTGGAGTAAGATACACATAACAAAATTTATCATCTTAACCATTTTTAATGTGTACAGTTCAGGGTATAGTTCAGTACTTTTTAAGTGTTACATTCACATTGCTGTACTGTTTTGATTTTCAATCATGTGAATGTATTACCAACTCAAAAATAAAATTATGAATAACAAATAATTATGCAAAAAATGGAAGCCACCTGTAGTACTAACCCACTCTAATAATATCATAATTCTTATCTAAAATGGCCAAAATTAGATTTAACAATGAATAGAGCAGCTTCAAAGGAGGATTTTATTCTGAGGAATGAAAACCATAGGGCATTCCAAGTTTTAATTAAAAAATGAAAATATTTTGATAACTATGTTTTTGAACAGTTTCCAAATCTATAATAATTTTTGATAGTGAGACTATTTCTATTCCTGAGTAGTAATTAGAATAAAGCACCCTTAGAGAAGGTTGTCAAAACAAAATAGGCTGTATATTCAAGTTTATCAATCAGCCAATTCCCCCTGAGTGAACCCACTTGGAGCTGAGTTGCTTCCTGCTGTGGTTCAAATATAGGAGGACAGATATGGGTGAGAAGCTAGGCTGACCATCCACTCTATACTCACAGTGGAACATATCCTCTGTCTCCCATTCTCTCTCTCAGATAAATAAATAAAATCTTTAAAAAAGAAAAAAAAAAAAAGGAACATATCCATTGTTCCCATGTCCGTTGTTCTCTCTGGAGAAAGCCCTCTCCATAGTGCTTTCCCAGAGTCTTCTAGATAATGAAACAAGTAATATTTCATAAGCCTCAGCATTGACAAAGATTTTCCACATCCACAGCTCTCTCTGGGTGAAATTAATCATCTCATTTTAAAATAAAAAGTAAGGACTCAGGAAGTTAAATGTGCTACCATGGTGAATAGTTAGGAAATAGTAGTGCTGGAAATGAACTCATTTCTTCCAACTCTAAATCCCATTACTTTCTACCATGAGCACCTAGAGCAACTGCAAAGACTCAAACTCAGCTCACACATTCATGGAGAAACACCTTCCATTTACAGTACTTGTTATGTTCCCTCTCTCCTTGTGAGAAAAAGAAATCAGGCTGGTTCTGCATCTTTGACCTCTTAGGTACATATCTCTAGGTTTGGTCTTTAACTCTTTTTTCACAGTATATTTTAGCAAATGAAAGTAACTCTATGGCCTTGGCAAGACACTTAAACTCTCAGGGTCATTCCCTTACATTTGAAACAAGGGGGTCAGACTAGCACATCTTTAAGATCCCTTCTGTCTCCAAAATGTTACAAATGCTGATATTTACTGAACACTTAGTATGGACCAGACACTGTTTTAATCCCTTTCTGTGCCTCACTGCATTCAATTCTCTTAACAACGCTCTGAGATAGCTACTCTTACCATCTGCTTTTGCAGATTAATAATCAGAAGTTGAGAGAAATTAAGTATGCCTCAGGTTACACAGGTAACAGGTGGTATGTCTGATTCCAAAGCCCAATCCTTTAACACTATGCCGTGCAGCCTCCCACTTGGCTACCCTCCCTCCTATTTCTTATTTCCCAATAACTGTGCTACTTTTCCAGTTACTGAGGCTTTCATCTTCATTAGCATCTTTACCAGTAGATTCCTAGTAGGGAAAGCACTGGGCTTGGACTGAGGACCAAGACAGGAAGTTGAATACTTGGTCCCATCTTCAGGGAGTTCTCTCAACTGTCAACAGTTGCTATTTCCTCTCTTCATTTGAAATACAATTCATCCCCTAAGAATTATTTTAGGTCTCTCCTACATTCACTGTTCTTCCAGCTTAGTAGTATAACTGAGGGTTAGAGGAGGGGGTCGTGAGAAGAACAGTTGCTATCACTGAATAGCTTCTTCAGAAGCAGCACATTTTCAACAACTTTTAAAGATAGTAAGTTGTCACAATAGTTGTATAAGAACATGATGAAACGATGTCAGAGGAAGAGTGTGAAAGTCAGGCTGTTCGGCTCATGGGGAAGGTAGTCAGTGCAGGGAAGGAGGTACAATATTGGTGCTTTTTGGAGTCTGGCCCCCCTCCAAAGGCTCTGCCCAGGCCCCTGGTGTAAGAACCTGGCTTCTCTGCTCCCACACACTGATCTCTACAGCCTTTTAATTTCTGTGGCTTCCAAACCATACAAATGGCATTGTGTTAAACTGTGGGTTTTGACCATTTTATGCCTTTTTTTCTCAGTATGCAATTATAAATTCTTGGAGTGCAAGGACCATCTTAAATTATGCTTATATAATGTTTAGTGCTGTGCTGGGCATTAATAGTAGCTTAGTAAATATATTTTCACTTTAATTTCTTTTTTTAAATATTTATTTATTTGTCAGAGAGACAGAGAGAGAGAGAGAGAACACAAGCAGGGGTAGTGGCAGGCAGAGGGATAAGTAGGCTCCCCGCTGAGCAAGGAGCCCAATGCAGGGCTCCATCCCAGGACCCTGGGATCATGACCTGAGCCAAAGGTGGATGCTTAACAGACTGAGCCACCCAAGTGTCCCTAATTTCTAAAAAAAAATACAAAGGAGATGCAGAACATGCTTGGTACTCAGTTTTAGCAATTATTTTACCCCAGACTTTTAATGAAAACCCAAGGAAGTAACCCATTTCCGTAATGCCTAGCCTGTATACATAATGGTGATCTGATAATATTTTGTTTATTCCACATAATTGGTCATCTTTTCTAGGATATTGTGTATAGTAAAGAGCTGCTATCTGGATAAATACTGATATGCTTGTCCATATATGAGATATTCACTTATTGCTAACAAGGTTCTTAAGAATAGTCACATTTTTAATAATTGTAAAGCCAGAGACATGCCCCCATTATTTTTAACTCTGGCCATAGAGGTGAGGACAACGCCTTTCTAGACAATAATTTGTGGGGAAAAAATAGGGACTGAAAGCACATGTTTATGGATTAAACAGGTGCCTATTTGCTAGTTGGGCTAGTCATGACTAATTGGTCAATTTTGCCATTGCTGAGTCATCAAATCAGTTATGAGAATAATTTCAGCAACTTAATACACATCCAGGCATCCCCCCCACTTATCTTTTGTGTTTTATGGTTTTGATATTATAACAAGCCAGATCTGCTTCAAGCATCCTGCTCATCAGTGAAGTTGCATGAAGATCTTTCTATTCCCTTGATTAAGGCCGACTGTGATACCAATTCTTTTCTTTTCTTTTCTTTTCTTTATTTATTTGAGAGAGAGAGAATGAGAGACAGAGAGCACGAGAGGGAAGAGGGTCAGAGGGAGAAGCAGACCCCCCACTGAGCAGGGAGCCCAATGTGGGACTCGATCGTGGGACTCCAGGATCACGACCTGAGCCGAAGGCAGTCGCTTAACCAACTGAGCCACCCAGGCGCCCTGTGATACCAATTCTAAAGTCCCATATGGTTGTATCTCTTCTTTTCAAGCCATTAATAACCACTAACACTGCACACTTTCTTTCTACTCTTATACTTCAGCAGTGTAGTTGAAATAACTAGGGCTCTTCAGAGGAACAGTTTCCAGTAGTAATGGGAGCCTGAGCTGGCATATGTCTCTTTCAGCACACTGGGGGCTTCTGAGGCACTGAGGAAGGAGTGAGAACACGGTTCCCTCTTACCTTTAAATACAGATGGGAGCGTTTGTGGCTCCTTACTCTAAATGTTAGAGAAGGCAGTAGCTACACAAACCAGCAGCCCAGTAAACTTGGAATACTTTCTCTTCCCCCTCTGATTTTATATATGTCACTTCATTTCCTCTTTACGATACCTTATGAAATAAATATTTGTAGCCCTATTTTCCATATAAGGAAACGGAGGCCAATGGAAGCTAAGCAACTGGCCAAAGGTCAAACAGCTGGCTTTAAAGCCAGAGTGGGAACAATTTTTTCCTGACATGTAAGTTACAGTTTTTTCCTTTATACAAAGGACATATCCATCCCAGAGTTTCAATCATTGCACATCTCCAATCTTTAAATTAGGAGAATCCTTAATTCAGAGTGTGAAGTATTTCACTTCCTTCTCCTCTGACAAGAAGGGGTAGATTTTGATAAAAGAACTAGAAGACAAAGCGACAATACTGATGTTCCTCAGCAGCACAAAATTATTTGTAATTGAGATGCTTTCTGGTGAATGTAGTAAATGGATGATAGAGAATTATAAGCCAGATAAAGATGACCCAAGTTGGAAGCAAGACTGGCAAAGGCCCAAGGTGGTCACTGTTATTGACTGATATTGACAAAATAAGCTTTCAGTAGAGAAGGTTGGTTTCTACAGGCATCTCAATCAGAGGCAACAGGAAATAAGTTATTTAATGTATAACCAATGATAACCATGTTCTGGTGATGGCAAAGCTGTTAGAAAAGTTATTCTCTGAGGAAAGTTATTTTGTTGAGTTGCTACAGGGATCCAGAAATGGTGCTGGAAGCCTGAACCTGGTGTAGGCCTTAGAAAAGGGAATGTTAAGAAAGAACTTCATCAGCGTCCACCCACACAAGGATAAGGAAGCCCACATAATGAAACTGGGTCTAGTCTCCCTAACAAAAGTGATGGCCACAAGTGGGGGTGGAAAATGCACCAAGTTTTGCATGACTTACGGGAATTATTCCCCTAACCCTGACTTGTAAATCTTTGAATTCACTATCCACTATCTAATCTTCAGAAAACTAAATACCTCCAGTATTTGGAGGCCCATGCTCTGTAATGCAAAACCCTTCTGTAGACTAAACTACTCTTGCATATGGTATTTATGTTTCCAATCAAGATTTCTAGATGATCAGTGTCAGTTCGTTTACCAGGGCCTTCTCAATTCTGGGGAGCTGATGAGCTCCCATTCCTACCTCTAGCATATAAGGCCCCATCAACAACTCAAAGCTTTTCATAACAATCCTCTGCAGCTTTGTCAGCTTGAAGCCCCCAAAGCTATTTTTACCCAGCTAACCCCTGACATAGTTATTGGAAATGCCACCTTGTAGAAATACAGGTAGTGAAGCAAGAAACCTACCATGGCCTTGATCATAGTCTTCTCCAGGTGCTGTCCAAGATAAAGTCACCTCCTCTTCCACTTCGACAGCGTGCAGGTCAGTAATTTTGCATGGTGGAAACACGTCAGGATGGGGGCCAGCTGGAACTCCTAGCACGGAAAAGGAGCCTCCTGAACTTACTCGGCTAAAGCCCCACTTTGGCTCCTCCTCACTCCTGCCCGCGGATTTTCTTGGGGCATTCATCTGAATGTTGCCTGTGACCAAGAAAAGAACGGCCAAAACCACAAATGACAATCTCCTGAGTAGCTTGTTTTTGAGAGATTCTGAGGAGACATTTTAAAACCTTTTTTTCTTTACTACATCCTTAGAATAACTGAGTTTGTTTATTCCACAATTCATTCATTCATTCATTCATTCATTCATCCATCCATCCTTTCACTAAATAAATATTTTGAAGGCAGTAATCACAGACAAAAGAGTATTCCTTTTGGGATTTATAGTCATACCAATAAAACTATCAGTCATGATAAACATAAGAAGGAAAAAGGGCAGGGTGATGTGAAGAAAAATAACACAGATACATAATTTGTAGCGGTATCAAGGAAGTAATATTTAAAGGCATCCTAAAGGGTGAGTAAGAGTCAGCCAGGCAGAGTGGAGGTAATAATATCTCAGGCAGAGGGAACAGATTGTATAAACTCTTGAGTTCCTAAAGAGCCCTGCAAATTAGAAAAATTTAATTAAAGCAAGGACGAGAATAGTTGGAGATAAGACCAGAGAGAGAAGCTCCTAGAGAGCCTTGCAGGCCACTCTAATGATTTTAGAGTTTCATCTTATGAGCTGTGGGGAAGCAGAGCAGTGACATGATCACATTTACTTTCTAACAGGTCACTGTGGCTGCTCTCGTTAAAGAATGGGTTCTAGCACAGCAAGCAGTGGGCCATTAAGACAGCCACTGCAACAGTCCAGACAGGGGGACATGGCAGGGTGGGCTGGGTGACAACAGTGGGGAGGAGGGCAGAAGTAGGCAGTTTGAGATGTGATTTGGAGATAAAATCAGTAAAAGCTGGTGATAGGTTTGAGTATGGAATGGTGAAGGAAAGTTGGTAGAAAAAAAAAAGAAAAGAAAAAGAAACAGCTCCCAGGTTTCTAAAATGAGCAACTTGGGAAGAGAAGCAGGCTAAAGGGAAAAAGACTGAAAATGTAAGTTACAAGGTTTGTGATTCCTTTATAACATTTAATTGAAGATGACAAGGAGCCAGTTAGACATAAAAACCAAAAGAGAGGTTTTTATCTAGATTTAATATTTTTGAACTTATCAATTGGGAAGTTATAGGCATATAGATATTATTAAAGTCATATGGGTTAATGAGGTTACCTAATAACAATTTCAATTGTAATGATAAATAGCATTTATTGAGTGCCTGGCTCACTACTTGCCAGGTACTTATTTAAGTATCTTACAGGTATCAGCTACTTAATTTTCCTAGCAATGCTATAAGGAAGGTACAGTTATTACCCCCCCTTTTTCAAGATGATGCAACTGAAGCAAACAGAAACTAAGTAACTTGCCCAAAGTCATACAGCTAGCAGTACATGGAGGAGCGAGGTTCCGAACCCAGGTAGAGTGGCTCCAGATGGTAGGGTAAGAAGGTTAGGCCTGAGCTCTGAGAATTGCCAACACTTAGAGGCTTGATAGAAAAGGAGGAGCTGGAAAAGGAGCCTGACCAAAAAAAAAAAAAAAAAAATTCCAGAACATAAGAGGTAATTGTAGAAGCCAGGAGATGACAAAGGCGAAATCAATCAGCTGTTTCAGACACTGCTGAGGACTGACATATATTCTTTGGATTTAACAGCAGAGTGGTCACTGGTGACTAGGCCCAGAGCCATTCCAGTTTTGGGGAGTTTGGGTGGAAGTCAGATTGTGGCAAACAGAGTCATAAATTGGAGGTGTCAAAGTGCAGGCAGCAGGTTTAGACTAATGTCAAGGAAGTCGATGACAGGGAGGTGGACAGTATCTGAAGGGAGACCAACAATAGAATTTTTTTTAAATATGGGATGATAAATCATGCTTGAATGCTGCTCAGAGGTGTCGGTAGAGTGGGACCATGCAAGAGTGAGATCTCAAGTCCTCTGGATGGGATCCAGAGCAGATCCCGTAGAGACACTGGCCTTTGGAGAGGAGAAGGATGCAGACACTGCTGTGTCTGGGGATTTGGTGGCATGAAAATAGAGCAGCTCCCATTATTTAATGAAGTGTGTGCTCAAGGTGGTCTTCTAAAAGTGAGCTGATAAAGTGAATGTTATGTGTAGTAGACATGCCTAGGGAAACCTAGCTTTTTCTTTCTATGCTGCTAAGAGCCTCTACAAAATACACAGATGAAAGGACAGTTGAATATTACTTTTCTAATCTCACTGTATACCAGATGCTGATAATGTGTATCCTTTAAACTCAGGATTTTAGAAAGATACTAGACAAGACAGTAACCTTTGAGTTCCTCAGTAGGAATCAAGTCTTATTCTACCTGTTATCTATCCCAAGTTCCTAGGACTAAGCCCGTCACCTAGTAAGCCTTCAAAAATGTTTGAGGTATAAATGAAAGAAGGAATATTTATTTATAACTATTATAGCTAGATGCAAAATCATATCTATGCAATAAAATCATGTTACCTTGCAATTTGATTTACACTGGTTTTGAAGTAACCCAAAGTAAATACATAGGAGAGTAAATTATGTTTTAGGAAAAACTAAAATTATCAGGAGATGCAAATTCAGTGGAACAGCTTGATTATTTTCTATTTAAAAGTACATAAAGACCAAAAATATAGAATCATGTTATGAAATAGTTATGATTAATTATAGCTGCTAAAATTCATGAAAAGTATTCATAAAGATTCTACAGTTTGGGAAATAATGTTTAGAAATCTTTTTGAGATTGTTTAAAATGATTATAGCATATTTTTGTTTGTCTGTTACACTTTAACCACTGCTTCCCTTTGGGAACTATAATAATGGTGTTAAGAAAAGATGTATATCTTCTATTTATTTGGTGCTTTTCTCTTGAAGGAAGACAGGACATCTTCAGGAATCACTCAGTTGTCTGTAACATCCAAACTCATATTTATTCAGGAACTCATTTTTTGTGTGGATTGTTTGGGCTGTTTGCTTCCTTCTTTCAACTGCTAACTACTTTTGCCTCTTTTTCTTGCCTAAACCTCTATAGAGGAAATACAGGAGCTATAAATGAGAAAAAAATCAACAAATCTCTTTAACTGTTAGTAATTCTGATGAAACAGCCACAAGAAAGAGTTCAAAATAATGACTAAAATGAACAAATATCTATGGAATATCTGTGGGAATTATCTATTGCCTTCTTGATTGCCTACCTTGAACCACTGAGGATTGAAGAGATAGCACAAATTATACATTGACTTAAGCATAAAGGGTTTTGAAATTCCATCTCTCTCTTACTCTTCTCTCTCTCTCTCTCACACACACACAGACCAGCGATATATACGTTAAATGCTGTTACATAACAGTGCTCATGATTCTTACCGTTCGCTATGTAACCTGGTACATACATAGCACGACTCCCTGGAATAGAGTAGGCTAGGCCGCTTATGCTGGGGGAGTGACTGACATGCACTTTCAAGCTATATCTGCCATTTACAGCAAAGGAGAAAAAATACCTCGAGTAAATTCCATCATTTTTTATAATATCAGCACCTGCATATATAAAAAGAAAGCTCAATGTCACCACTTGTCATCACAGTTGATTACTAATATTTAATTAAATCATTAAATAATAAGCTTTATTCCCTTCTTTCTTCCCATTTTAGCAAATCCAAATGGATTTGGATTGGAATTGATGTCTAAATTTATAGACATTTGGATATAGATGTCTAAATTTTTAGACATATTTATGACCATGATGGTCATAGCTACTTTTAATATTAAAATCCAATGGCTCCTTAACTTCTCCCTGTGATTCCTTAACCTCTGAAAAATTATTTTCTGAAGGTGAATGAGTTGTGCTTCAGTGCTCATAAAGCATATAATAACCACCTTTAGAGCTCTTCTTCTTATCACTGAAAATAATACTAATTTTTCATGGAAATCAAGCATATTCTTTTTGTTTATGGTTACAGACTCTTTTGAGATAAAAGCTATTCTGTTCCAGGAAATAAATATAGATGCACATATACACATTTCATACAATTTCAAGGGATTTATAAACATCCTGCAGCCCTGATGAAAAAAAAAATCTGGTAGTTGATAAAGTAGTGTGAAATTATTTAATTTCCTCATTAGGAGGTAACATGGAACTATTGTTCTAGATTCTGAGGGGTTTGCTGAATGGGGTTTGACAGGCTTTGGTTCGATCCACTGAGCTTTGCTTCAGGAGGCATTTGGAAAGCTTGGCCAGAGCTAGACTTCTTTCCTTGAAGAGCAGTTCAATTCCAAACCAAGTCCAGCTGAATGGTGGGGAGGCCCAGACTCCAGGGTAGCAGTGGGAGGTATAGCTTAGCCCAAGTGCAGAACACTTTCACTCTTCAAGTGCAGGTGGCCACCCTGGGCAAATGGCTTGTCCTTTCCTCGAGTTAGTTCACACCACATACTCAGCCTTGGACCTTAGCACTGTATCACCACTAAAGTGCTCTCAAATCCCTACTGCAGAGGCAGGACTGCTCCTTAATAGGAGAAAAGTAGGAGTATATTGAATTAAAATAAAAAGTGCTGAGCAACTTATTATGATAGTAGGTCTAGAAATTTTTTATCTATTGGAAAGAAATAAAATGTTGGTATTTAGAGGTTTACTGATTAATCAGGTCTATCTATTTGTTAAGAAATGATAAAGGAAAAACTCTCTGTGCCACAGTTACTACCCCTACCTCTTTTAATCCCTGAGTTAGAAAGAAATGGGAAAGAACACTAGCTTGGGGGTCGTGGGACTTGGTTTTAAGGTCTGGATCCACCACTCAGTAGCTGTGAAACAATCTCTCTGAGCTTCAGTTTTCTCATCTATAAAATGGGGAAAACTTATCTCACAGGGCTGTTGTGTTGATTATCTCAGAATGTTCATGAGAAAGCACATTTTAAATTATAAAGGACTTCATAAGTGTACATTTTATTATTGTTCATGAATATGGCAGCAGATAAATACTGCTTCCATTATAAGAATAAGTGTTAGCCATTTACATGTGTGTTAAGTATTGGGGAAAAAAACAAGCCCTAAATTTACACTTTGACACTTAAGCAATACTTTCCATTGTTTCTTTCATTAGAGTATAATTTTTTTTTTGAGAGAAAGAGAGAGAGAATGTGAGCAGGGGGAGGGGCAGAGGGAGAGAGAGAATCTTAAGCAGGCTCCATGCCCAGTGCAGAGCCCAACGCTGGGCTCAATCTCATGACCCTGAGATCACGACCTGAGCCACAATCAAGAGTCTGACGCTTAGCCGACTGAGCCACCAGGCTCCCCTAGAGTATAAATTTAGACATCAAATAAATAAAATGGTTCCAGGGAATAAATATAAAAGCTGTTGAGCTGACTCAGGTGATCTCTCCTAAGAGAACAGGATCTATTCTCCAGGCCAGCCCACAGGCTGAAGCAAAGGGGAAGCATTCTGGAAAGTGCATTTTTGGACTATATACAGAAACTAAAAGGTGTAGCCATGGATAAGCAATCAGAGCATGAGACGTTCATTTGGATCCATTCCAACAGACAAAATGAGAGGACTTCTCTGGTGTCCCTCTGAGGTAGATTTGGACTAAAATCCTTTGAAGGAACTTTTGTTTCATAAATGTCATACAAGATTGCCATGGCAAGATGCTAACGGGTTGCCAAACCTAAGACTCTTGAAAAATAATTATCTTGGAAACACCTGAGTGCAGGAGTATAGTTTTATTAGTAGATCAAACACTTGTGGCTGCTCACATAGATTTTGAGGCCTATTGTCCTTCTGAGAATGTAGTTTAGGGAAAGAACAGAACAGAAAAGATAAAACAACAAAGGAGTTTGTTTTTAAGACAAAAAGTTAGTCAGAAAGAGTCTAGGAGCTGCTATTTCCTGGCCTGATGCTGTGCTGTCTGTGAGGTATGATGTAGAATGTGTAGAATGAGCGCTTGAAGTAGGGTTTGGTTTTCTTTTACTTTGTTTTCCCCGTGGTGGAAAAATCTCTGTCATGATTCCACTAGGCTTGCTGGCCTGGTCATCTTGTGAGCAAATCATACATGTAAATGCACTGGCTCTTCCCTCTTATCAACCCTAGTACTTGGCTAAAGAATAGTCTGGGGTTATCTCCCAGTTCACAAGTTCAGTTTCTAATTCTGTCTTCACTATTGGGCCTGAGGAGACCACCGCTGCATCTTACTTCTTGGGTTTTCATTTGCTATTTTAATTGTCCAATCTTCTTATTTCAGTGAATAATACAGCTGGTGAATCTTAGAGGAATATGGGCATGTCACAAGGACATAAAAGCCTGTTCTGTGTGACCTCAGTGAGTTGCTAATGTCACTGGCCAAATAAAGACCTAGGTGTCAAGCTACTTCCTCCCACCCTTTTGTTCACCCCACAGCCACACTGAGGAACCTCAAGGAGACTCTTCCCAAGTTCACATTCTCTTTCCTTGTGCAGATGTGACCTGTAGCTACTCAGTATGTCAGTGACTCTCTTGAGGACTTGGGAATCTCAAAAGATTTGAGGAGAAAAATAATTGAATTGAAGGACTTTTACAGGTAAGCTTAAGATTGATAGTGCAGCATCATAACACAACAACAGCTCTCGAGAGCATGAAAAATGACATGACATTCCTTGTTACCTGCTCCATTGTCAAAAAGGTCCAGTGCAACAGGATCGGCAGCCTCTGGCTCAATTGTAGCAGTAACAGTGGCATTAAGAATGGGATAAATCCCTTTTCTCACATTTGCATAAATCATCACAGGCTGGGGAAAACGGGTGCTATCTCTTTCCACAAAGGCTTCCACAGTAGCAGGGGGCATGGCTGAGCTGGAGGCACGAGAGGTCACTGTCACTTTCAGGGCTTGAAGAGAATGGTGGGTATTGTTCAGTGTGTAGGTCCAGAGCCCAGGCTGCAAAACAAAGCCTTTTTGTTTTGTCAAATGTGAAGAAAAAAAATCAACCCTTAATTTTAAAGCATAAGTCTGAGCTCCTAGGGGCTTTAATCCTTGTTTTGTTGATGCTGCATTTTCTGAAGTAACTACAGAAGAATGTCAGGGAAAGTAATATTGGTTTAACAATTCATTATTTACATGGCTTTCACAGCACAACCCACTTTTATTGTTAGGTAACTTCTTAGGGAATTATACCATGAACTTATTTGTGGGGAGGACATATTTTAATTCACATTTTTGGAAGATAATGATAAGTGTCCAGCTTCAAAGTATTTTGCAAATGTTAACTTGAGCCCCTTCACCCAAAAGACATTTCAATGTTTTTATTCCTTTTCTACAGTTGAGAAAATTATAGCAAATTAAGTGGACAATTATGATTTATGTGAATAACTGGATTAAAAAGAAGTAGTATCCTTCCTTCCCTTCATGTCCCTCAACCCCCACCCTGAATATCCAGAAATCTCAAACCACTTAACCCACATACACTATTAGAGACCAAGAAAAGGAACACTGTTTTTTAATAAGTCAGGATTCTACAATGCCTGTGTTGAGTAATTTGTAGAAATATTGCTAAATGCCATTCTCTTTTGCCTGTCTAGGCTGCCTGGGGGAAACCTGCAAAAGAATGTCAGAAAGAAAAAAGCTTAAACTATAAATAACAGAAGTTTTCTTTGGATAAGATTATATATAAATATCCCTTTCTTCCCCATTCTTGCTGTTGCTTCTTTTTTTTTTTTTTTTTTTTTTTGAGAGAGAGAGCATACACAAGCTGGGGGAGGGGCAGAGGGGGACAGAGAGAGAATCTCAAGTAGGCTCCATGCCCAGCACAGAGCCCAACTCGGGGCTCAGTCTCGCAACTGCGAGATCATGACCTGAACCTAAACCAAGAGTTGGTGGCTTAACTGAGTGAGCCACCCAGGCACTCCACTGTTGCTTCTTATTAAACCCTAGAAGTAACAGGAGGAACACAGTACAGCTCGAGGGGAAAGAGAAAGCAGCAAGGGGTTAAGTTGTGACTCAACGTGGAAAATTAAGATGCCACCACACCCTAGTCAGCCTTCTTCTTTGGGATTCATGAGCTTGGCCATTTTCCTATGAAGTCATAATTCAAGTATCAAGATCATCTATTTATTCTCTTTTTTTTTGGAATCATAACATTAGTAACAAACAGTACAAATCGCCATATCAAAACCTTCTCTTTGGGTGTAATGTGTGTTTTGCTGTAGGACACCTCGTGCAGACTAACAGGTCAGGCAAAGGCAGCAAAAAGTAGGTAAAATGTTCTTGGCTCTTGTGCAAAGAACATGATGTGAAAAGAACATGATGAATTGAGAGAAAAGTAAGGAGGAGCAGAGCAGAGAATGTTTGGGAAGAGGGTTAAGAAATAAGCTTGGGCAAAAGTTAGAACATAAACTGCCTGATATGTAACATAACCACATAGATTTTATCCTGAGACCACCAATTAGTTTTGAATAGGAGATAGGCTTGATCAGATTCATGCTTCAGAAGACTCACTGGGGTAGAGGTGAAACAGAGGCAGGGAAATCCTAGGAGAGGCTGCAACAGGGATCTGGGAGTGGGGAGGGCCGAAGGTGCTGGGGAAGGACTGCACTCAGGCAGTGCATGGGTGGACCTCATCAATTCACCACCCTGCTGAGAACCACTAGCAATTTCCTTTCCCTTTAGGATTCAAGCTCTTCTTGCCTTTACGGGCATACAGAGCCCTTGCTGACATGGTTCCTCTTTGTGTCTAACCTCATCACTTCCTCTCTTTCCTTCCCCTAAATCTCCGCCTTATATACTGCTGTGTAGTTCATCCATGTTGACCTACTTGTAGTTCTATGAAGAACTATATTCTGTTTTTTTCTGAGCGTTTCTATGTGCTATTTCCTCTGCCCAGAATGTCATTGACACCTCTGGTCTCTTTATCCTCCATATTTCCATTTTGATGTTTTTACTTCCAGGAAGCAGTCACCTTCCCTGGAAGCCTGTGCATCATTCCTGTATGCTCTGAGTAACCTGTTCTTATTCCTACCATGGTATTTTATTGTAAAGCACCCAGAACAAGACCCAGCACATAGAAGATACTCAAAACCATATGTATTGCATATATTCATATTATAAATTCTAGGTAGAGTTTTTTTTTTTTTTTACTAAGCATATAGATAACTATGTGTGAATTTTGTAAAGAAGGAAGTAAGCAAAAATAAATTATTTGTACTGCATACATACTAATTTCCACTGTTGAAGAGAGAAGACTTTGGTATCCATTATTTAAAGTTTTGAACATAACTTAGTTGTTTCTCTTACATTTTTAACATTCACAAAATGCCTTCGTATGAATTTAAAGTAAAATTTTGATCAGAATAGGATTTCTTTATACAGTGCATTTAATTATGTGATTCGATTGAAAGTTATGTACTTGACTTGTAAATGTTGTCATTATGAACAAGCTCACAACACCTACCTTAGCAGTTCCTGGAACACAGAGGCGAGCAGTCTGCAAAGCTGGATTGGTGGTAAAATTATTTGCATAGTATTTTCTTCCATTAGGATCAAATAATGCAATCTCAGGGGGACCACTGGTCTGCCATGTGACTAGAAAGGTAGTGTCATTGCCCACACTGTTATCCAGGGTCACAGTGTTTTTCAGTTGATGGTGAGGTTTAACATTTTCACCTGCACTTTCAAGCTATTCAAGAAAATACACATATATGTGAAAGTTTCTAGTGTAGGCATAAACATTCCATCTTTTTCTTTACTTCTGGACAAACAAAAATAAATGGGCAAAAATAAAAATAATTTAGTTCTGACATGTACTATATTTAGATAAATAACTTTTCATACAAATACCTCTCCAAAGCAAAATATTGTGTATTATAGGAGTACAGAAGATATAAAATAGTCTATTATGGTTAATACAAGTGTCACTTCATTATTTTTTACAGAGAGATTTTAGCTGTTCTCATACTAATTCTCATCTAAATCAATAGTAGCCTCGGATCAGCAATTATAATAACAAGCTTTTAAAAAAATTTTGTTTGTGAATGTGCTTAAGCGGTTTAATTTATATGTTATCTCTCCAGATACTTTTATGGGCATGGAGCCTAGTGCGAGACTTGAACTTACGACCCTGAGATCGAGACCTGAGCTGAGATCAAGAGTCAACTCTTAAATGACTGAGCCACCCAGGCACCCCTACTTTTATATATTTTAATAAGAAATAAAACACTGAGTTTCAGGGGGCTTGGGTACATTAAAATAATTATTTAGCCATTCACAATAAGCCACGTGCACGTGTGTGTGTGTGTGTGTGCATATAATACATACAGAGTGCAAACAGATGACGGCACTGTGCTAAATGCTTTACATATATTATCTCACTTAATCCTTATGAAAACCCTCTGAAGTGAGTACTGTTGTTATCCACATTCACAGTTGAGAAGACTGCGGCTTAGAGAAATCATTTGTCTAGTTGTCACATGGCAAGGAGCTGAAACTGGGATAGAGCCCAGGCAGGCTGACATCAGAGCCCCTACATTTAATCACTATGTAGTCACTACAGACACAAGTCAATAAATAACTTCAAAAATTTTATTTATTAAATAAACACACTGTGTAACGCTCTATAATATTGCTCAAACTTGGGAAGCATATAAAATTTTTGGTAGATGACAGCAAAAACACTGTGGATTATTTGTTCAAGTCCATTTTACAAGTGTTTGTGGTCTGCTGACTACTGGGGCACATTCTGTGCTGGGCTTGCACTGTTGAAGGGGATTTAGATGTAGTTTCTGCCCACAGTCTAGTGGGGCTAATGACATACAACTGGGGAGAGGTGGCCAAGTTTGGGAACATGAGGCTAATTTGAGTCATATGAATAATATTTTGTTAAATTTTTAAAAAAACTTTTTTGAACTTTTGTTTTTATTTCACATTATTAAAGAAGAAATCACATGGTAGATAATTTGGAAGAGCCCAGTGTAATCTAATTTATAATATATGTTCTCATTTATGGTTCACCTTTTTTCACTTCTAATGATGGAATTGTGGTATTGCCTTACTGTGTACATATATTACATATATATAATCTTCATGTTAAATATTTCCTAAGAGTAATTTAACTGCCTTCATTGTTCATATCAAATCATTAACTTGGCAGGTTCACTTACCATCTGTAAGGAAACATCAGATAAAATTTTGTCCAAACCCTCAGTTATGTTCAAAATATCTTTAAAGTACTTAGAAAAAATTTGGCCTTTTGAAAATGGCTTAATCGATCAGAGGAAGCCTTTGTGAGCAAAGTCAAGTAAATTGCAGTAGTCAACGAGATATTTAAAATTTTTTAGAATTTAATGAAATAGTTGATCCTGTTAATATGAGGGAGGAGCTTCAAAGAAGTTTTTAAAGAAGCCAAAAAAGGATTATGACTGATGAAAAGTTATAGAACTAAAATAAAGACACGGTTTCTTACTTCTTGGCCTTACTTCCACCCCACCTCCACTCCCAGTTTGAGCTACTAGGAAGAAGCACACTCTGCTTCCAGACCTTAAAAGGCTGAGGTAGCAATTACAGGAAATTATTCCTAGGGTGGAGAAGAACAGACATCAGGTAAAAGTGAAGTGAAGTGAAAGTGAAGACCAAGAAGCTCATTAAAAGGGGCGCCTGGGTGGCTCAGTCGTTAAGCGTCTGCTTTTGGCTCAGGTCATGATCCCAGGGTCCTGGGATTGAGCCCCGCATCGGGCTCCAGCCCCGCATCGGGCTCCCTGCTCGGAGGGAAGCCTGCTTCTCCCTCTCCCACTTCCCCTGCTTGTGTTCCCTCTCTCGCTGTCTCTCTGTCAAATAAATAAATAAAATCTTAAAAAAAAAAAAAAGAGAAGCTCATTAAAAGCCTTCTGTGCAAGAATTATTCCATATTCAAATAAGGTTAATGAGGCAGCACAATTCATCTCTTTTTCTTGCTTCCTTCTCCCTGCCCCGCAGCCCCATCTGTAAGTGTAATACCAACGAAATCCTGACCTGAATACGTTGTTGAAAAATGTCTCCGGTTCCAGAGGAAATTCTACTGAAAGCATCAATCATGCTGTTGGAATTTGATTTATCTGGAACAAAGAACTTTAAACCTCCTGAAATACATGATCGGGATGTTAACGATTAAAATGTATAAAATAAAACAAAAAAATAACAAGTTAGGTCTTTTCCAACAACCTTTCTTATGAAAGAGGGCTAGTGTTGGGGAAGGAGTTGTGCTTGACTTGCTTTGTGTGGCATCCTACCAGCCACATGGTAAGCTCAGAGGTGAGTGGTTTTGTCTGTTTTGTTCACAGCTGTAATGTCAAGGTCTAAACGTCTATCTGGTACAGGATAAAAACTCAGTAAATATTTATTAAATAGTCTTGTAATTAAGGTAATTTGTAGAGAGCCTAGGGTAATTGCCATCTATCATTGGTATATATTTACATTTACATTTATATTCTGATAACATTGTTTTCAAAGATAATTCAATAAAATCTAACTTTCAGTTTTTAAGTCAGCAATACTCATTTTTATTGACTAAGGAATAGAAGGTAAAATTATTCCATGCCTCATTTGGAACAAAGAAAATATGTATCTTACAATATGGTATGTGTCCTTATGGAAATTAGTGCATTTAATCTTTTTAAAAAAATTCTTTTATTGTTATGTTAATCACCATACATTACACCATTAGTTTTAGATGTAGTGTTCCATGATTCATTGTTTGTGCATAACACCCAGTGCTCCATGCATAACGTGCCCTCTTTAATACGCATCACCAGGCTAACCCATCCTCCCACTCCCCTCCCCTAGAACCCTCAGTTGGTTTTTCAGAGTCCATCGTCTCTCATGGTTCGTCTCCCCCTCCGATTTCCCCCCCTTCATTCTTCCCCTCCTGCTATCTTCTTCTTTTTTTTTTTTCTTGACATGTATTGCATTATTTGTTTCAGAGGTACAGATCTGAGATTCAACAGTCTTAGTGCATTTAATCTTAAACATATTTTTAGCTCTGTGATTATACATGCTCAGATTGGTTTAACAAAGAAATGGTAAAATTATATTTTCAATGGATGTATATAATTGGCACCTTCTAAGGAAAATGTTTAAAAGTCAGCAAAATTTGGGGCATTTGGGTGGCTCAGTTGGTTGAGTATCCAACTCTTGATTTTGGCTCAGGTCATGATCTCAGGGTTTTGAGATTGAGGCCAGTGTTGAGCTTTACTGGGCGTGGAGCCTGCTTGGGATTCTCTGTCTTCCTCTCCCTCTGCCCCTCCCCCACCCCTCTCTCCCCCCTCTCTAAAAAAAAAAAATCCACAAAATTTTGGCAGATTTTAACAATGATTTTTATGTTGTTTTCCTTAAGATAACTGTTTCTATTTTTTTTCACTTAAGCCACACATTCTATCGACATAATCTGAGCTTCATGGTTGTGCTTTGAATATTCAAGTTAAAGGAAATGCTCTAAAATACAAGGTTTTTAAAATATATTTACCTGTATGACGTGATAATTCCTCCAGATTTTTGACCACGGATGAACCCAGGGCAATGGAATGAATGGTTGAACCACTGCTGAGCACGGTGAGTAAGCAGTTGCCAACATGCTCATCATTTCCACTAGTCACTAATATCATCACAGAGCCATAGGCTTTTCCATTCAGTTTTTCAACCACCTGAACATAGAGTATCAGTCATTTGGAAGGAAATATAATTCAAATTGTCTCACTGAACGGAAGAATTCACTCATTCCAGATTCCCCACCCATGAGGCGTATGCGTCTTTGAGGTCCTCTGTGGCTCGCTGCTCTCTGTGCCCATCCCATTCTGTCCTCAACTCACTTCATCACAGGACTTGTCACCCTACGTGCCATTGCTGGTTTGCTTGTAGAGAGGGACTCTTCCTGTTTGAATCATCACAACATGACCCTGGTTTAGAATAGGGTCCATGGTAGAGGTATGGGAGCACATTCTTATGTGTTATCACTGCCTCTGACATCCAGTGAATGACCAATAAGAGGACTTAGAGCAGTGGTTCTCAACCTTGACTACACAATAGAATTAGATAGGTCTAGAATGACTATACACAGCAGCCAGACATGCTGATTTTGACTGGAAAACCCAAGGGTAAAAATGGCTACAGTTGGGACAGTCCCAGAATGGATAGAGACAGTGTTAGAAATTGTCCAGATGATGCTGAAGTCCCCCAGCCTTGGCCATTGTATTTATTATTTACTCATTCCTTCAACAAGCGTTTATTGAGCAACTGTTATGTGACAGGTACTTTGCTAGGCCCATGGTGTTTAATGGTAAATAAGATATGGTTCCTGATCTCAAAAATAATCCATCACTACTGTCTTATAGTTGAGGCTGTTATGACCACACTGTAACAGATAACAATCAGAATCTGTTATCAGAGCAGATAACCCCAAAACAGATAACTACAAAATGAAGGGAAGGAAAGTGATGGTGATTTGAGGCTTGTGGTGCTCTACTGTACCTCGAATCCCTTCTTAAGCCCTGAGCAAATGCTGGTTTCTGCTTCCGCTGACACAGTCATAGGCAGATGTGAAACCAACAGCTTTCGGTCATCATCACTGTTAATTTGGTGTAGTTGGGCTCTGATCTCCCCTTTGCTGTTGAAACTGATGATGCCCACAAAGGTATGAATTTCAACAATCTGCATCAAGTAAAATTCTGCTGCTTGTTGCAGTCGAAGGAGTCTGTCAGCCTATGTCCCAAAAAGGAAAAATAAAGAAAAGTAGTAACATTTGGTTGGTAGACAAAAGTATGACTAAGCAACTCAATTGGCAAATATTTCTGCAAATCATTTAGCAATGTCAGATTGTAATTTTTTGAGCTGTAAAGAGTGATGCAATGCTGGAATCTTGTTTGATTAATTGCAAAAAATAAATGCTTTTCAAGGAGGGGGGAGTGGTTTAGAACCCTGCCCCCAGCAAGCTGTTCATATTTACCACTCTCTAAGAACACATATTCCCACTATTTTGCCCCAACTCAGAATTCAAGATCTATGAAACCAGTTAAAACTAGATTTATAAGTGCTTCTTTTAAAATCCAGTCTGGATAAGAGGAAACGCTGCAAAGAGACCTGATAGTAGAGAGAAGTAGAAGTTAGGGGTATGTATGCTGGCACTATCCTCTGTTACCATGGTCATCTTAGGTTGGAAACTTCATCTGTAAAGTGCGGATAATAATATTTTTCTTAATTATTCAAATAGAATTGCTATGAGGATCAACTGAGATACATATGTGACAGTACTCTTATACTTTGAAGTGTTAACCAGTTCTAACATAATATTACTGACCAGGTTTGGGCAGGTGATGTTACTGATGTTTTGAAGGCTATGGGAGCAGCAAGCTGAGCTTCAGTGACCACCTGCTCAGGGATGACTGTAGTCTCTATCTCCAACCTAGACATCTCCCTTAATATCTGGACCTACATTCCACATTGCTTAGGAAACATCACCAATTTAATGTCCCATGGGTATCTCAGACTTGACGCACTTTGAATTCATTGCCTCTCTTCCCAAATACTGTTTCTCTTACAATATTGGGAAGTAAGTTGGTAGGGTAGATGAAGCAAGGACTTTGAATCTGGCCTTCAACTTTTGCTAATTATGTGACCATAGAGAAATTACTCATCTTTTTAGCTTCAGTTTTCTCATCTGCAAAACGGATAAATAGTCAGCACCCAGTAAATAGCAGCTATCGCTAACCATGTCATCAAGTCATCATTCTTTTTTAAGATTAGTGAATTAATTTTTAAAAAAAATTTTAAATTCTTAATCATGATCTCCACTCCCAACTAGTTAAGCCAAAAGCCTGGAGCTGTCTTTCATTACCCCTCTGTTATCAGCCCCCATATCCTTGAACAGGTCCTATCAGCTCAATATCTTAAATTTCTCAAATTCATACCATACCATCTCTCCATCTTATCTGCCATTTCCTTAGACACACCCAATGTTATTTATAGCCACATCAATGGATGTATTTCTCCCCCAAAATTTTTTCTAATTTTTCTTGTCAGCCCCTGCACAAATTCATCCCTTCCCTGGCATTCCTCCCTTCTTCTCCTTCACCTATTCCAACCTAGCAAGTACCTCCTCATCCTTCAAGATTCAACTCCCAAGTTCATCCTCTCAATGAAGTCTTCCTCAGTCACTTTCTTCTATGGCACTAGATGCTGTCTCATCAGTGTTCCCACAGCAACTCACACCTCTGTGGAGCCTTGCCACATTGTATTATATTTATTCACATGTGCATGTTGTGTGTCCATCATTAGATTGTGAGCATTTTTTAAAGATTTATTTATTTGAGACAGAAAGAGTGTTGTGGGGAGAGGAGCAGAGGGAAAGAATCTCAAGCAGACTCCCTGATGAGCATGGAGCCTGTTGCGGGGCTCCATCTGATGACCCTGATATCATGACCTGAGCCGAAATCAAGAGTCAGACGCTTAACTGACTGAGCCACCCAGGTGCCCCAGATTGTGAGCATTTTGAAGCAGAGACTGTTCTGTCATCTCTGCATCCCCCAAGCCAGCATAGTGCAGGCACCTAATGAATGAATGGCCATGATGGTTCAAGGACAATACTGGCAGGAAAAGGGACGGAAGTTTGTTTTGCTGTGAGTGTTACTTAAAGCTTATTTCTATTCTACTTCCTTTAGGTCTTCTCTCAAGTAAAACTATCACTTTCACTCTATCTATTCTTCCTCAATAGAGGCAGCTAGCTAATATAAATTATCCTGAGAACATATTTAGAAGATCATGCCCTAGTCAGCTGCAGGTAGGTAAGATTACAAAATTATCCAGAAGCTGAATGTATTAGTGGTGCTCCTAGTATTTCAGAGACAAGCCAAAAAGGGCAAATTTTCCAGGACTACTGGTCCAGAGAATACAAGAGGACAAACTCTTCCTTAGGACAAGTACTATAATAAAATAATAACTACCACTTTATGAACCCTAAGCTTCATATTCATTTTCTCATTTATTGCCTCTCAACAACTTTATGAAGTAGATGGTGGTATGCTGGTAAATGTATTTTAAAAACTGGATTTCTGGCAAAAGAGAGAAGAGAGAGAGAGACCCTGATTTGTTGCAAAATTGACAATTTCTGTGGGGTAAATACTCCCACCATGGCTGATTTCAAGCTGTCACTTGTGACGTCACTGAAGGCAGAGCTGGGGAAGAGATGTGTAGTAGAAGACCATGCAGACACAACAGACCAGAAATAATCTTAAGAGCATAGATCAGAGATCAGCAGACATTTCCAGAAAAGGGCCAGAAATTTAAGTATTTTAGGCTTGGTGGGCCATACGTTCTCTGTTGCAACTTCTCAACTCTGCTGTTTTAGCACTAAAGTGGCCATAGATAAGATGTAAATACATGAGTGTTGCTGTGTTCCAATACAACTTTATTGATAGACGCTGAAATTTAAATTTCATATAATTTTCACATCATGAAATACTATTTTCTTGATTTTTTTCTAAGCCATTTAAAGAATAAATCCATTTTTAGCTTGTGGGCTATGCAAAAACAGGTGGTGGGCCAAATTTGGCCCATGAACTGTTGTTTACTGACTCTGGTCATAGATAATAGTAAAAAAATAGTAGGAAAATAATTAGGAAGTAATGAGTTTTAAGCATTTATTATGTTTGTTTTAATATATTTTATTTAATTCTAAGTCTACATAGTTTAATTTTTAATAATGGCTATATTTAACTACTGGCTTGCAAATTTCCTAAAAATTTAACAATTGACTCCAATGAACTAGTATAAGCTGGTTCTGTCACAACACTAAAAGTAGGTATTATAATCCCTATTTTATAGTTGAGGAAACAGTTCAGGAAGTAGGTATTATAATGACTATTTTACAGTTGAGAAAACAGTTCAGGAAGGTTATTTTACTCTTGATTAAAGACAGTAAGTGAAGAAGCCAGGATTTAAAGCACATCTGCCTGGAGACACTAAGCCTTTGACCACTATCTGAGAGTTCTGAGGCTTCCAGGAGTGGGTTTCTGGAAGGCTGTGAACTTCCTGGATGACTGAGGTATGGTTTTCTATTCATGGTGACGTGGAAAATACACACACAATGGATATGCACACTCTTTGCAAACTCGCTGTTTCTTACCTCAGCAAGGGATGTGTACCAGTGAGCGAAATATGGCCAGACTAGAGATTTTCTTACACATCAGGCTTTTGGAAAAGGCTCTTGGTTGGGAAAAAATTTGCAATTAGTAGCAAAAAGTCAGGGTTAGGGATTATCTGTGGGTTTCATTTATCTGCCTTATCTCAATTTCTGGCCTACATTCTAAATTTGTTCCTCTTGTCCCCAAGAAAAGACGAAATGCATGATGATTCCAAACCTTTGACCTGTCCACCTCTGCCCTTAACCTCTGAAAATGAAAAGAATTAAAAACTAATAGAAAAAAAAGATAAATGGTTTACAGCCATTTTGTTTCAAAATATTACCTCTGCCATCTTACTGGACACATCCAGGACTAAACACACCACTTTGTCGCCAGCCTGAATAAGGGAGAACACGGGAGGAGGTGGAAACTCAGTCTCATTCATGGGACAGCTATGATTAAAGTCAGCAGAGTCTGCGATTACATCCCATGCACTTCTGAGGCTGCACATTTGGTTCTGTAGGTTTGGAGCTTCTTGGTTGTGGGTACGTGCATTACAGAATTCAACCACCTAGAAAAAGAACAAAGCCTATCAGAATAAAGGCACTCCTCCCATATTAGACATACTTCTTCTCAAGCAACTGAAGGTAAAAGGGCATGGTAAGCTGAAACATGAGATATCAGAAGTGCTGTATCAGTCCTTATTACTTCAAGAATGACAGTGAGTTTACAAATACACCTTCACACCCTTTGCTTGAAACACTGGCACCCTTGTGGTACTTGTGATCAGTCTAAATTACAGTCTGTTTGCACTTGGATAACAGAGCAGACTGTGTATCTTAGTCTTAAGAAAACAAAACAATCTCCCACCTTTTTTAGTATGAAGTATGTTAAATAAACACTCTACAAGATGTGATCTCAGTCAGCCTATTCCTTGGAATTATATTTAATGACCCACCTTCACCTTTATTTATTGATCAGTCAACATAAATCGATCTAGTTCAAATATTGATCTCTGTAAGAATAGGATAAGGAAAAAAAAAAAACCTTAAACCTACTTCCTGATCTTTTTCCCCATTTGGAAATAGAGATATAATTCATTTAATAATACTAAACATATGTCACCCTTTTTTAAGGTATGGTTTGCATTGTGAAGTAATAAGTTACCGCCTATTCCCAGTGGCTATATTCCGGTAGAGTAGATACTTCCTGCTAACAGAGCCATGGGAGCTTAGAGCTAGAAGAAACCTTTCCAGTCCCATCTCTAATTTCATAGAAGGGGAAGCTAAAGCTCCAGAAGGTTGATAATTGCTCAAGGACATGGTTTTCTCAGTAGCATGGGGAGACGAGAATAGAACCCATTTTTGTTGTTGTTTTTTGTTTGTTTTTAACTCTTTTCTCTCTTTCGTGACTATGGTTAGAGGACGGTGAAATTTTTTTGACTGGATATTAATGATTAGGTCTTTCAAAGATTCACACACAATGTGGATGAAATACATGGAATTAAGTTGGCTTCCAATATTAAAGCTATAAATTAAAAACATAATGGATCAGACAAGAAATGTGAAAAATCCCTTTAAAGTTACAGAATGACTTGTAGCCTTGACTAAACCAGACTGAAGAAAAAAAGTTACTTAAAGAAAAGAATGCGTCAATCTAAGGGACATTGGTCAGCCGTGGAAACAGAAAACTTCACAGAGGCACATGCCCATGTGCTCTCAGCACCGTGGAGGGGAGATGACACACAGACATGAGTTTCAGGTCTTTGTGAAAATGGATGGATAGATCAGGTCATGAAGGCTGATGCCAGTAAGCTTCTGTATCACCAGTCTCCCTCCTTTCTGATTCCATTCCCTCCAAGCAGGCTTCTGGTGAGAAGCACACACAATTTTCCTTCAGAGAAAAAACGAACTGGCTAAAGGATGCAAGTATTGGATCCCCATGACAGAGTACTATTTTTAAATAATAATGTAAAAAATGTTGTTCTAGATCCATACACTAGTCTCTTGCCAATGCAGAATACTGACAAGCTTAAGTTTCCGAACCTGCAGCGCTAAGGGTTAGTTGATTTCTCTTGGTAACACCTGGTTTTTCTTTTTCAATTTATACTATGCAAAACAAGGGAAAGAGAATTAGGAAACACAATTAAAGTAAGAGTGGTTTGCTACTTTTTTTGTGTGGAGATGCTGGGGAATGGTTTGCTACTTCAAATGAGAGAAGTATAATCATGTGTTATATCACTCTTAGTAACTCAAAAACACTTCTCCTCAATACCTCCAGATGAGCAGTTTATTTTGAAGTTTCCAGAGCTTCCTTGTTAAATCACCTTCCCTAGAAAGCAAATAATCACTTTTCTAAAGGATTTTTTTTTTTTTTTTTTGGTGATCATCTTTGGGGCCTCAGTGTTTTTTATCTGTGAAATAAAAACTAGATGAACTCTAAGGTCCCCAAGCTGTAAAACATAGTGAATCTTAATTATCTTTTTGTTTAAATACTTGAAACATATCAGTCCATCTTGGGAAGAGATGGCATGTTGTAGGAGTTTGTCATTCCAAGGCCATACTTACAGAAGATAAACTTTGCATGAACATTATTGATGCAGTTGCATTTTGGGTGCTATTGTATATAAACATACATCCTTCTTTGAAAAGTTTACTAATAATACAGTTTTCTTGAGGGCAAGGGCCTTTTTCACATACAAAAATGCCTGTGATGTCAGATGAACACCTAAAAACAGAAAGAGAAATTGGGTCTATTTCAGAAATACTTAGGTTTCTTCTTCATTGGCTCATATAATTATTTATTCTAAGGCTTATAGCTTGCTAGATACACATAAAACATCTTAAAAACTACTCTGTTAAGAAAGTTAATTAATTTAGAAATGCACTATACTTTATTTTAAAGCATTTGATCTGGATGAGGAATTCTCTCTTGCCAAGGGTTTTACCAACTAAACAGGGTCAAAGGAAAAGATACCAGGAAATCAATATGAACTTTTGGAGTCCCAAGGAGGAGCATTAGTGATAGTATCCTGAGTCACAGCTTCTTTGAGCTCATTGCCATTGGACATCAGAGCAGAAGAGAATGGAGATGTAATGATGATATTTAAACGGATTCTTTCCTAAATAAATAATCTCAAATACTACCAATGGGAGTGAAGAATAATACGACCTTTAGAAGAGAAATATCTTTAAAAAAAAAAAAAGAACTATCTTCCAATTGATGATCAATTGATAATTGGTCAATATCTACCAAAATTACAGCTGAGGGTACATTTTTGGCTCAGTAATTCCTGGAAACTATTCAATAGATATATAGATCTGCCTGCATACATGAGAAATGACATATGTGTAGCATTATGACCTACAGTATTATTGGCAATAACAAAAAACTGGTATCAACCCACTTGTCCAACAATAGGAAACTGGTTGAAAACGAGTGAGATGGTACATCCACACAGTGGGACACTAAGTAATTATTTTTAAGAAAAAAAGGATGAAGAAAAATATATATACACATTTATTTGGATTTGCCTGAAGAAATACTAAAAAAATAATCAAGAAACTAATAAAAATGGTTACCTAGAGGGAATGAGAGGGAACAGGGTAAAGACAATGGTGGGAACAAGATATCTTAGAGTATAACTTTTTATGTTGTTTTCATATTTAAACCACATATTTACCAACTTTTAAAAAATGAAATAAGATTCAAAAGTTTAAAAATGCTGTGAATTGTGTAAGACTGTTGAATCACAGACCTGTACCTCTGAAACAAATAATACATTATATGTTTAAAAAAAAAGAAGATAGTAGGAAGGGAAAAATGAAGGGGGGGGGGGAATCAGAGGGGGAGATGAACCATGAGAGACGATGGACCCTGAGAAATAAACTGAGGGTCCTAGAGGGGAGGAGGTGGGGGGATGGGTTAGCCTGGTGATGGGTATTAAAGAGGGCACATTCTGCATGGAGCACTGGGTGTTATACGCAACCAATGAATCATGGAACACTACATCAAAAACTAATGATGTAATGTATGGTGATTAACATAACATAATAAAGAAAAAGTTTAAAAATGAAAGGATCTCTTCCTTGTCAATTAGGTTTTAACTGCCATTATCAACTTCGTTTTACAGTAAAAAAAAAAATAAACAATGAATTTTAAACATGAGAAAAAGTACCAACCTTGTTACTTTAATTTGGTTTTGCCCATTTATGTAGAAAGGTTTCTCATCATTGTATTCGTCGAACACACCCCAACGGAGATGGGCCCATTCATGGACAAATACTCTACCTGTGGAAAAGAGAGCTTTGGTTTTGTGTTCCTGAAATCTCAGCAGTGGGCTTTGCTAAAAGGTGAAGATATAGCATCACTTGACTATATATACTCACTACAAAGGGTTGAAGTGTAATTCTCTCCCACTTTTCTCTTCCTCACCTTCCATTCCCATCTCCTGCTTTACCCTCTACCATCACAAAAGAGGCACTCTGAAAATATATTTAGTCCTGTAAATGCAGACCAGTGATTTACTTAGTGCATACCTATTTGAAACCGCATTCTCTCATTTCCCCAGTGAAGCTGCCTAACACATTTCTATTTAGCTTCTTACAGGCCTACCATTTCAGGATTGGGGGAAGGGAAAGCAGCTTATCTAAGTACAGTGAACTGAATGCTTATATCCACCCCCCCCCCAAACCAAATTCATATGCCTCATGTGATGGTATTAGGAAGTGATTAGGCCTTTGAGAAGTGATTAGGTCACAAGGGTGGAGCCCTCATGAATGGGATTAGTGTCCTTATAAGGAGACCCCAGAAAGCTCCCTCCTCTTCCCACCATGTAAGGACACAGAGAGGAGATGGTTGTCTATGTACCAGGAAGTGCGTACTAGACACCAAATCTGCCAGTGCCTCAATCTTGGACTTCCCAGCCTCCAGAACTGTGACAAATAAGTTTCTGTGGTGTATAAGGCACTCAGTCTGTGGTATTCTTTTATAGCAGCCCAAACAGACTAAGACATAAAAACAAGCAAATAAAGATTTCCTCTTCTTTAGTCTGTATTTTCCAAGCATACCTACTTTTTTCTTATAAGTAAGCCTCCTCTCTAGAGCAATGATTGAAACCCTGAGGCCAGAGAAGGATAAAGGAGTAAAAAAGATCATAAACCTCCTCTCCAGCTTGGATGGTCCGTTCTCTTTTATTTTATCTCTGATTCTCTGTGTTTATATTTGTTTCCACTCTTGGCTCATGGAAAACAAATCCTTTATATCTTTATCTCTTCTCTAAATTTTGCATTTCCTTCAGTGTTCTAATCAAAACTACTCCCCAGTAGAAGCTTTCGGGATTAACTCTCCTCTCAAAGTGCGTTTTTCCTTTTTTTCTGATTTCTTTTCAATTCTGGGAACCAGGAAGTGTTTGCAGAGCAGACTGAGGCTGCAGCATGTTGTGCAAGTTTTGTACCGTGGGACAAAGGAAGGGAGGGGAACTAAGTGGAAGGTATTAAGGAAAAGTTTGTGCCTACTCAGGGAATTTAGAAGTGCTGGTGAAGTCATCATCTATTTGTGCAGAGATTATCAGCACCTGTTAGTTACTGGGGAAAAGATGTTTGTTTTTTTTTTTTAAAGTGTTTTATAAAGTGTGTTTTATACAGTGTGTTGCCCCAGTTCCCACCAGCCATACTGAAGATAACAGCATCTATTTAGATTTAAATGGGAGTAAAGTGAAAGCATCATTTGAAAGGCACTACTGTTAAAATCAGAAACAAAAAATTAAGCATGGGATAGTTAGCCCTGGACCTGTTGATCTGTTCTCTGGACAGTTTCTCCCTCAGATCTCATCCACTAAATGCCAGTCTCCAAGCCTGTTACCCTGACTTCTCTCCAAAACTCCAGCCATCCACATCCACCCCAGGCTGAGCCTTTCCGCCAGGACAATCCGCTGCTCCCCTCAATCAACTTGCCTAGATCCAAACTTGTGGATTTCCCCCTGAAACTGTCCCTTCTACTTCCGACATAAACCGGGTTTATGTTCCTTAATGCTGCCACACACCCCATCACCCTGGCCTTTCACTCTGTAGCAGGCAGACCTCTAAGTTCTCTTTTTTCCCCTCGGGAATATCTCCCATCACTTAGAATTGTTAGGATTAAATAAGATAACGTTTGAAAAACAGCACAGCACCTGGCACATAGAAAATTCATTGTTCTTAATACTCTTTCCTGTCCTCACCTCACTGCCCCTATTCTTATTCAAGTCTTATTGTCTCCTGCCTGGACTTCTAGTTATTCTCCTGATATTCACATTCCCTCTCACTGACTTGAGGGAGCCAGATTATCATTATTATACAGCCAGATTCATCTTCTGAAACGCTTTTATGTTGGTTTCACTTCTGTGCTCATAAGCCTTCAGTTGGCGACTCGCTAACTTGGGCAGCCGAGTCTCCCCTGCAGCTACCCCCCCATGCATTTCAGCCTTTTCTTCCACTACTTCACTCCTCACAGTCTCTCTGCACCATCAGTGTGCCTACTGCTCTCATCTGTCAAATATGCTCTGGATCCTTCTACGGCCACTGTTTATTCATACTCTTTGCCCTGTTCTCTCTCATCTTTCCATTTACCAACATGATATTAACCTTGGACAGCCTTTCCTTTGTGAGGCCCTGGCTGAGCACCGTTAGTGCAAAATGTTCTCTCGCTGAATTCTTGTAGCACTCACCGTCTGGGCCACCAAACTGGTGTCCAACTGTTTTTTGGCTCAGTTTTTCTCTTACCTTTCATGGGCACGTAACCTATCTCTCCCCATGCATATGGTAAGTCCTGAGCAGGTTTCAGGTTCTTTGAGTTGCTTTTCAGCAGCAAGCACAGAATATTGTAAATAGTACTGCCTGATGTCTGTTTCTGGATTGGTCACACTTACCTCGTGGTCCATAGCCAGCTGTTAAGTCATCATTTACGAGAAAGTTAGATGTGAAATGAATGTATTTTCCCTCTTTTCCACACCCTCTGTATTGTAGTGTGTATGGGTCATCTCCATGGACCCCATACCAGTCAGTCACTATGACATTTGCCTAAATGAGAAGGAATGCTTTATAATACTCTGTATCCCAACTGTGATGTTGGTGACATAAACATATACATTTGTTAAAACACTTTGAACAGTACTCTTTACAATCTGTGCATTTTACTGTATGAGTTGTATTCCAATTTAATAACAGATTTTTTTAAAGTTATGTCTTGTAAATGGAGTTTAAAATGCATGCACACCTAAATATCAATAAAATTATTTGTCATATCAAAAATATCTGTATTTTAAAAGCTTAGCAACTTTCCGTGGAGTTTGATTATTTCCATGTGACCTTCCCATTTTCCAGATTAAAATTTTCTCAAAAGCCCACACTGTAAAATTCTGACATTATAAAACCCTATAAAATATAATAAAAATATTTGAGTAAATGTTAAGGGCAGTGAATGTCATTCAGACTGTTCTGTAAAGTGAACAGCTTTTTGTAGGTTACTTCATCAGTACAGGACAATAAGATGTGTTTGTTTTAAGCCTTTTCCTTTCATTCCTGTTATCAATTAGATCAGCAAAACAATCATTAGAATGAAGTTATATTTCATCTTGTACCCTTACCATTTCAATTATTATTGCTAAAACACAGTAGTTTAAGTCCAAAACCAAAGAAAATATCTATTCAAATAACCATATAGGAAATACAATTTTATATACAACATTGTTTCTTTTATTTTTAGGAAGAAACATAACATGTTGTCTCAAGACTTGCCATTAGAAGTATGTTGTTAACTTTTTTTTTAAACAAAGCTTATTTTAGAACTATAGATCTAATATGATCCTATAAATATACATCAATGATCACTATATGTACCATATGTGTACTGTTTTATGTGTGTGTGCGTGCACACCCCCAAGTAGAGGAAGGTAATATTTTCAATTTTATTTTCCAGTATTTCTACAGTGTTTAATTTGTTTTTGCAATGAGCATGAATTATTTTTATAATAATTAACATTAATTTTTAGAAAGATAAGAATTTAAGCCAGGGGTTTTGCAAAGCAGCACCTACAAAAGGGCTACAGATGTCATGCCCTTGGATAGTTTCACATGGACAAAACCTCATTCCTGTGTCTGGAAATTTGTCCTGAAGCTAAAAGGAAGGAGTGCTCTGCTGGGGATGGAATACTCAGTGGCTGTTTGAGGTTCCATTCTATTATAGACCCTAGTAATACAGCTCTTACCTACTTTTTCTAACTCTCCGTCCCCTCCCCTGCTTCCTACCTGCATTTGACTGTGGGTTCACAGGGACAGGAACCACCTTGCTTGTCCATGCCTAGCATGGCCCCTGTAGATAATGATCATTCACTGTTTGCTTAATTGACATTTGAGGCTAAAGGAATCGGTATCCAACAGGTATATAAGCAGCACTCAATGATTATTCTTTCCTTTAATCTTTCAGTTCAGTAATATTCTCATTTTTATTTTAATTATTTATTTCTCACCCCTCCATTAGGATCAGGAGTATGACCTGGTTTTGATGCTAGTTGTCTCCAATACTTCTTTGTTTCATGGAAGGTCAAATTGATTAATATCATCTACATAGATAGCTAGAAACGGCGTAGCTCAGTGCAAAGAGCAGGGGTTTGGGAAGCAATTAGACATGGATCGAAATTGTTGCTCTGTAATTTACTAACTGTTTGACTTGGGACAAAATCCTTACTTTATTTGAGCTTCTGTTTCCTAACTTATGGTAATAATTTGTGATAGCAACTAATTTTAAGGTGTGTGAGAACTAAACAATATATGTAGAATGCCTGGTGCTTAGTGGAATCTTAAAAAACCACTGACTCTCTAGGGGTGCCAACGTGGCTCAGCCCATTAAACATCTGACTCGATTTTGGCTCAGGTCATAATCTCAGGGTCTGAGATTGAATCCCTATGTGGAGACCCCAGTCTGCTCCTGCCCCTTTTGCTAGCTGCCCGGATTCTTGTTCACAGTAACCTCAGTCATTTGACAAATGTATTTAACATTTGTTTATAGCATGCAGACATAATCAGGGATGCTTAACTATGATCTGCAGCTTATAAGAGTTCTTTGAAGGTTAAGTTCTTTCTGGTTGGGAAAGAAAAAGAAGCCACTCCTCCCCTCTCCCCCCCTTCTGCCTTCCTTCTTATCACCATACTCCTCAGAAACAGTGTCCTGGACTTGGGCTCATACGAAATTCTGCTAATTTACACTCTGGCGGGAGAAGGCAGTCATATTTTATAGCTTATGTTTCTGTCTGGACATGCATGTCTCCTGCCCCTGACAGGATGGGAAAAGAAGGTAGTCATAATTGGAATTGTTCCCTGCACAGCTCATACTTAGTAGGATAAAACCAGCTTTTGGTCCTTAAGCAAACATTTCAGAAAGGACCCTATAAGTTACAAAGAAAAGAGGCCTTCTGAGAGGCTCGTTGGGCAATGGCATTTTGTTTATTTTTTGTTCCATAATTTGTACTCATTTATTATATTTCCATGTATCTTGTGAATAACTATCTTCCCAATATTAGTTGTGTGTTAACATCAATGACTTGTTTTTGCTTAAGTTCTCACTTTTAAAGTTCGAACAGAGTGTATCTTGGTTGTTTTTTCCGGAGTTAAGCTCATTTAAGAAAATCCTGAATTCTTACCTTTTCATATAATTCTTGTTTTACTTTGCTGTAATTATTAGCTTTCCATGTGGCAGGTATTAAAATCTTTATATTTCTGAAAAACACTCTTCTCTTGGTAGCATTGAATAGGTAAAAAGAAGCTTCAGTTATCATTTCCTATAACCAAATAAAAGAAAAGCTTATCTTGGCACTAGTAAATTTTTTATGTTTTGGTTTTCTGATTATACTTGAGTAAGTAACAGTAAAGAGTAGTGAAAATATTTTAAAGAAGCCCATTTCTTTTAGAGATGGCCTTAGACTTTGGGAAAACTTGGGAGCAAAATAAACCTCAAATGGTTTATTTTGGTAATAATATTACCAAATATATAATATTTGGTAGGGATTTTAGGACACCAGCAGTGAGTCTGGGCTTGCCTATGTAATTTTTCCCAGTTTTGTGAAAAACTTTTAAGCTTTTACCAAACAAATCACTTTCATGTCACTCCTGTGGGCATGTTCAAGACCACACCTTATGATGATCCTGATTTCTCTAAAGCAATACCAACAGGAGGCTCTTAAGTAATGGAGCTATGATCCTCCTTCACCACATTAAGGTGAAAATAGTCAATTACTTTACAGAACATTCAGATGAAAAGAATTTTGCTCTTCAGCACTCCATCCAGACTCTCTTTCTGTCTGAGAATTCTCGGCCTCAGGATGGAATCCAACAGCTTGATTTTAATAAGCACAATCGTGCTTATTCATCAGTCAAACATCTGGTCTTTGTTACCACAATGGGTTATTTTTTTAAGTTGCTACCCCCCAAACAGTCATATTAGGAAAACAAAAAAAGCTAAAAGTAATAGTAACCAACAAGAACAAATCAGGAAGGGCTAGCTCAACACTCTGAGCCAAGACTGTGCATAATTAAGTGAACATACTGGCTTGGCCATAATTATAATTTTTGGTGCTTAAAAAAAAATGCTGGGGCGCCTGGGTGGCTCAGTTGGTTAAGCGACTGCCTTCGGCTCAGGTCATGATCCTGGAGTCCCGGGATCGAGTCCCGCATCGGGCTCCCTGCTCGGCGGGGAGACTGCTTCTCCCTCTCCCACTCCCCATTTGTGTTCCCTCTCTCGCTGTGTCTTTCTCTGTCAAATAAATAAATAAAATCTTTAAAAAAAAAAAATGCTGATCTCTTTACTATTCAAATACAGACTGAGCAAAATTGTTAGCTTTTTAAAGAAGGCTACAACCCTGCTCTAATGGGATAATGGTATCTATATCACATTTGTCACTTACCTTAATATTTGCGATGAGGTTCTGATCTTCGGATACCTGAGGGTTGATTGCAACGAGTAACCCATCGTACCCATTGTCTTGAAGCTGCACTCCGGCTCCCAGGAATAGGAATTCTGGAATTAGGGCCACCAGGAGGGTCACAAACTTCAGGCTGCCAAGGGGACCCACATTGTCCCTATGGGTCATGTTGTAGAGAAGCCTCCAGTTCACTCACACTGGCCCTACTGGGTACATTGCACCAGGTTGTCAGTGGGAGAGCTGATACTTTCTTCCTGAACTTGGAAGGTCTTAGACATTGTGGTGAAGGAGGTGCCTTTTTTTTTTTTGCAAAACTTGGGTGGATCTCCCGGAGAGCTGCCTCTACATGTCCTTTTCCTCTAGGCAACACCAACTTGCCTGTTTTGTGGCTGAGCTTCCTTTTGAATCACGGTTGGGCAAGAAATTACTCCTTAGTCAGTACATCTTCTCAGAAGGGAGAGGGAAATAAGACAAAAGGAGCTTGAAAGAAGGAGGCCAGGCTGGATGGGCTAAAAATCGGAGAATCTGGATTGTTTAATCCCCTTTCAGCAGAAACACAGAAATCTGTCATGACTCTTCTCTCTCATCCTTGACGACCTCCTCCATCAGGCAGCACAGCAACTTTTCTACTGCACTCAAGTCATTTTTTATTTGCTGTAAGATTCCCTTGTCTGCTTCTTTGGAATATTTGGAAATCCATCCTGCAGCCCTGTCCCTGGGGCCCTTGGGTCAGGTCGTCTGGGCAAGCTCTCAGCTGATGGTGGAGGGGAAGGTATCAGATGTCCCCCGAGAAGGGCCAAGTGACAGGAACTTAGATGCCTGGGCAGACCATGGAGGCCTTTCCCTCTGCCCTTGCTGCCTCTCCTCCCTGGACCAGGAGAAAGAATAAATTTCTCTTTCAGCAACTCTCTCCTGAGGGCAAGGCTGTGCCTCAGTCCACCTTCCATTTTTTAAGGACCAATCACAGGGTCTGGTACATAGTAGACATCACAAATATTTTTTTAAAATTTTTTTATTGTTGTTAATCACCATACATCATTAGTTTTAGATGTAGTGTTCCATGATTTATTGTTTGCGTATAACACCCAGTGCTCCATGCAGTACATGCCCTCTTTAATACCCATCACCAGGCTAACCCATCCTCCCACCCCCCTCCCCTCTAGAACCTTCAGTTTGTTTTTCAGAGTCCATCATCTCTCATGGTTCGTCTCCCCCTCCGATTTCCCCCCCTTCATTCTTCCCCTCCTGCTATCTTCTTTTTTTTTTCTTAACATATATTGCATTATTTGTTTCAGAAGTACAGATCTGAGATTCAATAGTCTTGCACAATTCACCGTGCTTACCAGAGCACATACCCTCCCCAGTGTCTATCACCCAGTCACCCCATCCCTCCCACCCTACCCCCCACTCCAGCAACCCTCAGTTTGTTTCCTGAGATTAGGAATTCCTCATATCAGTGAGGTCATATGATACATGTCTTTCTCTGTTTGACTTATTTCGCTCAGCATAACACCCTCCAGTTCCATCCACGTCGTTGCAAATGGCAAGATCTCATTCCTTGTGATGGCTGCATAATATTCTGTTGTGTATATATACCATATCTTCTTTATCCATTCATCTGTCGATGGACGTCTTGGCAGCATCACAAATATTTGATGAGTGTTGAATAGTACCTGATAACTACCTAATGCTTTAGAATTTACAAATAACCCCATTTAAATGTCAATTCTCTGATGCAGGCATAACTCTTACTTCTATTTTTCAATGAAGACACCGAGTCTCAGAAAGATTGAAAATTAGCCAACAGGGAAGGAACTAACTCTTATTATGTGATGGGTTTTATCATGCTTATTTTATGCGTGACAAAACTAAGGCTCAGAAAATCTAAGTAACTTGTTCAAGGTTGTGCGAGCCTTGTCATAGTGCTAGAATGAGACCCACTGGCTCCCTCCACTGTTTTTCACCATATCATATTGTCTCGCATTCTCAGGGAACTGGAAATAAAGTGAGCTTTATTATAAATGTAGAGCTGCAACGTTGAGGGACAGTGATGGTAATTTTTCTCTTGCTGTCCCTCTGCTTGGAACCTCTTCTCTGACTGCTTTTCACTTGCTTTTCCTTCAAATTCCAGTTCTGGCCTGGCAGCCTGAGCTGAGCTTCCTAACTAGGTCAAATCCCCTCTTTCATGTTTCATAGCATCAGATGCCTGTCCTTTGCAGTGTGATCATGGTTGTGGTGTCACATTCATTTTGTGTGATTGGTTTTCTGCTTCCTGTGAAGGGTATATGAGAGGAGGGACCCTACCCTGTCTGTTTTTATCACTGCCTCCTTAGCACCCAGCTCAGGAGACTCTCAATAAATTTTTGTTGAATGAATGAATGAGTGAATGAATGGAGTGAGGGGAAGGAAATAAAAGCTAGATTACAGAAGAGCCCTGGATTATAGTGTGAAAATGCTCCCCCCAACTTTATTTTTTTTTTAAGATTTTATTTATTATTTGAGAGAGAGAGAGTGAGCGAGAGAGAGCACAAGCAGGGGAAGCAGCAGAGGCAGAGGGAGAAGCAGGCTCCCCACTGAGCAAGGAGCCCAGACACGGGGCTCCATCCCAGGACCCCGGGATCACGACCTGAGCAGAAAGCAGACGCTTAACTGACTGAGCCACCCAGGCACCTTGCTTCCCCCAACTTTAAAAGTATCTCTTCTAGAAGGTATCTCTTCTGTTCTGAAGCAGTTTTCTTCTTGCTCCATCTTGTCAGAAGGCCCTGGGGTGTAGGTGCTCCCCCTGGGTGTGAGGAGAATGGAATGTCTCTGGTAACAACGCGGCTGCCACAGGTGGCCACTCGACAGCTCAGAGGTCAGCTTAGCTGTCTTGTCTCTCTGGGCTGATTCCCAGCCGTGGAGGTCTCTCCGCCTCGCTCTCACTGGGCGACAGAGTGGAAGCCCAGAGGTGTGGTGATGCTGAAGGCTCTGCCTGTAACTGTGATTCACTAAACCAAACAATGAACTTCATTTTCAACTTTTCTTGGCAGTTTATTTTCTTATGCCAGTCCCTTGTGCTGTTCAGAAAGACATTATTGACATCGGTAAAACCATATGCTCAAAAATGAAACCCGTAAGCCGTACTGAGAGTAGCTTTCCACCAACAATCAGAGAAGAGTTTCTTCTTGCCACCATGCACACTTGTGTGAGTTGTTCTCTGGCGGAGGGGCTGTTGAAGGCTGGCATCCAGCCCTCTCTCCACTTGCTCTTAACAATAGTTACAAGGGCTCCCGTAGCATGGGGAGTGGAATGTTAGCTAGGGGCTGTGTGCAGCTTTAGAAAGAGCAGCTACATATGAACGATCTTGTCCAGTTTCACCTGAACAAGTGCACTCAGGTTTTGCTCCTCCTGGGCTGAGGGTCCAGATATGTCCATTCTTGTCTACCTGTTTTTTGTGTCCTTGGTTTTAGAATCCAATCCCCCAGGCTGGCCACTCGACTGGCATCCACTTTCATCATCTGTCCTGACAGGATTCTGGTCACTGACCCATTCTCTGACCATGTCTGGGGTGTCACAATCACTTCGAGAGCCTTCTCCCACTTCTGTTTTGCTCTCAGCAACCAGGCCTGGGGCCAGGCCAGCTAACGATCTCTTCTTTCTGTCTTCTGCTCTGACCCGGCTGACCCTACAGGAGACAAAAGTAAAAAGCTCTTAAAAACTGACTTGGCTAAGTGACTTAAAAGTCATTCCTGAGGGGAGTGTCCACTTCTGATAAAGTGTGACTTTGTCAACAACAACAAAAAACCCCCACAATTTATCCTTTCATTCAAAAAATATTCACTGCTCATGTCTATGGATTTTATGATATCTGAAAAATGAAATACACCCAAAGAGAAGAAAAATGGGAATACAATGTTCAGGCATTTATTTAAAGTTATAGAAATTCTAGGAATCTGCTCTGCTTTTATCTGCTTTCAAGAAATAAGAGTTATTCCATTTCAGTAACTGAAGAATCTAAAGCACATCTTTGTTCATTGTCTGAGTTTGCAGTTCTTCCTGGCCCCAGAAGGCCTCTCTGTTTTCATGGAGTCTGCAGGCAGAGACCCACAAAGTGAGTATCAGAGGAGTGAGGAGATCTGACATCATGAAGAGTCCAAGGAAGTTTTGAATTATTTCTTCTCAGGCTTTTGTTCGACTCCTTAGCAATCCCATTTAAAACAGGAAAGTTCACGATGTGGCAGGACTACAAAACTATGGGACCACTTTAGTTTTGCAACATTTATGAAATAAATCAAAATGGAAGTGAGACAAATTGTAAAGAGTAAAAATTTGAATGAAACACAGTTTTCCAAGGACTCGGATGGCACATTTCATGCCTCCCTCATCCCATTTTCTTCAAACTTATATTCATTTTCAAAGCAAATGAGTGAAGTGGATGGTCCAGATAGAGTCCAGGAAGTTATTGGTGTTTTGTTGAGTCACCACCATATCAGAGCTTGAAGCTCTTATATTTCTAGTTGTTTTAATTCTCCCTATGCAGTCTTTCACCCCCAGACTTTTGCTATTAAGCCTCCTCCTCATCCTCACTGTGCCAAGAACTTTGCAGATGACTTCGTGCATGGGGAAAAAAAAAACCCTCTAAAATTTGCCAAAATGAATGGAAAACAAGAACTACTTCTAATGATAACCTAATAAAGAACATGGGAGAAAGGGTATAGAATATTTCTCATTTGCAAAACAGGCATAAAGTTGTGTCCTATAAGATACTTTTATATCTATTATGTACCAGATAGTATATAACATCATGTGGATGTAAGATATTATCATTATTATTATCATTATGTTCCAGGGAAGAACAAAAAGAGAAAGCAGACATGTAGTGGAAATTTTTTCAAGAGGTGAAAAATAACCAGGGAGATTCAGAGAACAATAAATGAAAGTACAAGCACAAAGATTACATAGTTCTTTCCTAGTCTCCCATTCTGTTTTCTCTTTGCTCTGATTCTGTCCATCTGTGAAGTTTTAAAGGCTCTGCCAGATTCCCTTGTTGTCCCCAATCCCAGCAAGGGGCAGCAGGTCTTTCAGTCTTCCTCTTGTGCTGTTTCTAATACTCCATTTCACCCCGCAAGCCCTGCAAAGAACAGGAGCAACTCCAACCAGTTGAAAGACCTGGCATTTGGAGGATTAGGGCTCCCCCTTCTGTTCTCAGGGGTATCTGTTCTCAGGTATCTGGGGCTCTGAATCTCCAGACAAAACTCTCAGCAAACAGAATTGACCTGTACAGACCTCCCTCCCAGAGCACACCACAAGTTATTTAGAGTAGTACTTTTCAAACTTTAATGTACCTAAGAATCACCCATTCAAATTCAATTCCAACTCTGTAGGTCAAGGTGAAGCC